CGGCGCGCAAAGAATGAAAGGGGGATAAACGCCGACGCCAACACGTTCGCGAGTATGACAAAACGAGGCAAATAAGCGCGGGACCATTGTTTCCCGACCGCGCCACAATCAACGCCCATCTTTCTTTTTGTGCGCGTGTGTTTGTGAGAATGTCGTCGCTGTCTCCACACCGCTGGGTTTCGGCGTGTTGGTAAAAGCTGTTTAAGCAAAAGTGTGCAAGCTTCGTCAAGACTTTATTACCGTTAAATAAGTCGGACTGAACGATGTCGTCGCTGTTTGTATTCTTGCGACAGCGGTGAAGAGACAAAAGCCAAGAAAACGAAAGACATTAATAGTCCGACTAATTACGACTTGAAGAACCTCAGAAATGCGGAAATCACCGAGTGGAAGTTAAGGGTTAAATTATAGCGCGTCGCGAAGTAGAAATCTAATTACGAAGTGGGTACCCGATAACAAAAATGTTATGCAAAAAAATAAAATTGACCATTAAAAATCAGAAGAGTGTTAACCGGACGCAAAAACCATGCGTGCGTAACGCGATAAAATAAAAAAGTGTAAACAAGAAAAATAATGCTAAACGGTCCACAGAAGTAAACCAGCGTGGCGTATTCAAAAGACTGTGTGCAGCGACTATAAAAGCAGCGGCACGTTTTCCAGCGCTAGCCTAGTAAAAGGACTGGAAAACTCCACGGGCAAGGCACAGTTCTGAATGATGAGCAGGCGCAGGAAGCCGCGAATATTATTTTCCTCTGCCTGCCACAAACATGTTTTTCTTCCACAAACGACGACGCCGCCGCCACTTCCACGTCCGCGTCCGCCTTTTTCCGTCAGTCAAAATGCCATTGTGTCAAGCCTCAAATCGGACAGAATAAAGTCGCCTCCGACAAGTCCTCATCGGCGAAATCGATGCGAATACGATATGATATCTCCCTGACAACATGCAGCAGCTGCGTAAACATTGTGAATTGTCGTCCAAAACAACTCAAAGAAGAATTATTGCTGACACAGTACCGAAAATATTCAACCGTGTTAATTAAAACAAGAAGACGTGTCAATGAACACAAGCTATAAATTGTTCTAATCTCAAAAAGTGGCAAATGATATAGAAATTACTTAGAAGCGAGTTTGTTGTACTTGTTAGAACAAAACGTTCGCTCCGGGAAATTGACGTCGTTCTCGAGCGAAACTTTAAAGCTACCCTCGCGAATTAACCTCGAAACACAAGACGGGAGTACGCATGACCCACGCGTATCCTCGTCATTGTCATGTCGCAACGTCATGTCGGGGTAATGTCGAAGACACGTTTGCACTAATTAACGGAGAACTAATGAGCTACGAAGTACGCGTTACGCAATCCCTGTTCCTGATACCTTTCAGACAACCCGAGGATAATAAAATAAATATATTTTCAGCAAAATCGTCTAAATAGCTCAAGAGAATACTGCATCGATTTTTTTTTGCTAGGGTGCACTAGAGATGTGTGTCTGTTAAACGCCACGTTGATTTATAGCCCAAAAATACCCAAAAATATAAGTGAAAAACACAAACACGGGATACACACTTCTCTCGGCTTGTTTTGCAGGCAGAAATTTTCACATTTCATCACCCTTGCCAACCCCTAGCGAGCTTTCCAAGTATGTTAGAAAAGCACACACACTACGATTGGCAGAAAAAGCAAAAGACGCAAACAAAACAAGCCCACGAAAAGTTGCAGCATACATAAACAAACGCAAAGAGGAAGATAGAAAAGCCGACCCCGACAAAACTCCGCATCTCTCGCGACTTGTCGCCCTCGGAGGGCGCACCGCGGCGCGTGTTGTGCCCCAATCCCGGTTATCGCGATAGCATCATGCCAACGGGCCGCGATACAGACGCAATCTTCTTTGCAGTCGACGGAAAAGTTGACCGACTTTGCGTCCCAAAACTCAAAGTTTGTGTCGTATATTTTCGACATAAAATACAACAGCTCATAAGGAAGACGAATGCACTAGCATGATATCAAACCGGACGATAGTACTATAGATTCCGTCGCATGACGATGACAAAACGACATTCATTCGACGTATGAACGGACAAAGTACCTATGGCGAACACGCAAAAAAAAATACTGTCAAGAGACAAAGAAAACGCAAAATGCGCATCGCGGCAAACGAGGCAAGCGTACACGAAGCGCTTTCGAACGCGCGGCGAAAGAATAAAAGCACGGTTCAGGTTTCGCAGCGTCGCGGACGAAATGGACCGCGCGGCGAGTTTCTACGGGAAGAAACATGACGCGCCCGCCGCCATATCTCATCGTAAACCTAATAATAATGGTTCCCCGGTTTGGTTAGAGACGCAAGGGGGGTGGGAAATAAGACGTTTCGAGTCATCGGGTAACCAGACCGGCGAAGCAGACAATAAAATCTGATTTTAAAATACTTTTTAGTCTAAAAATATCGCAAGCACGCAAAAGTTGTGATTTTCTGACATTTCCAAAGTAAATTAAAGATTTACATCTATTTGGATCGTATATGCAAAGTAGATAGGTACATAATCATAATTCATTGCTCATAGTGTAAATTGAGGCATCATTATAATGGCCCAAGTTTTATCATCTGTAACACGGTCGGAACTAACAAGCATTCCATCCAATTCACTTGACGCCTCCGTTATAGCGCGTTATGATAGGTACACGCTCGGATTTGACTTTAATTATCCTAGCATTCAGCTCCTGAGACCCGAAATAAATGGATCTAACAAGCCCTCCATCCTTCTTCCATCCCAATCGACCCTTACACCGGTTTATTCCTTCGCGTTTGTTTTGCCAAAAAGGTTTCGACATGCGCTCATCCAAAAATATGCGCCACTGCTCCATTCGAAAATTGGCAAAATTCAAGCATAACCTAAATTGTGACTTTGGTGTTTACGCGTGCGGCGTATAATTAAGCGACGAATTAGTCGAGTTTCGGGTTGACGAGAACGCCGCGCTGCGAGTAAGCGAGGTGTAATAATGAACAGGGGCGCGGCGGGTGGAATGAGATTGGTTTATATTACACAATCTGCCCGACTGAAGCGCGGGGGCGGTGAGGCGCGGGGAGCGACCCGTATGCACACTAATACCTCGGCTGCGGCGAGCAGAAATCCCTTCGGCGCTGCCAGGATCCGACATGGTTCAGCATCCGCTGCTCCCGGAGCATCTTTCCGACGAAGCGTTCTTCGTTTGCGCCTAATGTTTTAACGTTTTCTCCGAATGAAAATGAGGGTAATGTACGTTGACGAACAAATTGCTTTTTCCAGCTGCAAGCTGAAGCGTGATAGTGTTGTTGCGAAATTTCCAACAATAAATTGAGCGTTTTATTAAACGCAGCATTAAGCGTTTAGAGTAGGTACGTTCGAAACCTTCAATTGCAAATTAGATATTAATCTCAAAGCTAATCGATAGAATTATTGCAGGTTATCATAAACCAATTAATCACAATTTCCACGCAAAAAAAACACGTGGGCATCAATTACAGACACGCGGTTAAACCCGAACGAAAATATGCGCCGCTCTGTTCGCTAATGCGTTCGACAATCGGAATTACGAAACGCACACCGCGCACCCCTCAGAATCGTGCACGGAAGTAATGTCTCTCTCTCCAGCGAGCATTACGGGCCGTATTTGAGTAGCGGAGTGGAGAATCGCCACCGAATCGAGTGCGAAAAAAAGTTGCCACCGTCTGCTCGAAATTAATCATTTTCGCGCTCCCCTCCCGTTTTCGGTCCCGGCCGCAGCGACAATTGATCAATTTGTAGACACGTCCCGCCCGCACGTGAACCCGCATAACGCGATTTCGGCGCCGCGAGAAACCGCTTCTCCGAGAACGCTTTTTACACGTGCTTTAACCCGCTGATGATATCGAGCGGGCGCATTTCTCGGTGCGCTTTCGGGAATTTCACGGTGCGAAACGCAATGTAATGTAGCAAAGTACAAAAAGTTGGCAAAAAATCGCATACGCGGCACGCAAAAAAAGTAAAAATCGGGCGCGATTCAGAGAGGCGGGATGGTGGAGCGTAATATCCACCCATCGGCATCAACATATCTATTCGAAGGAAGTTCCATCGCCGTGTAAAACGCCAGTATTTGCGCTAAGCTTTCAGAAAATTTCCTTCGACAGAGTGCAGAAGAGGCAAGTCGAGAGCAAAAGAGAAAATATCAAATACTAAGATATAGATAGAGATTTGATCCGTGGTGTAAAACATGTAATATCACAACGCCTTACAAACATTTAACCACAAAACAAACACAGTGTTCGTAATACGCCCCAAAGAATTTTTTCCATGAATAAGTATCGTAATAATAAATTTATCAAACTATAATTTCCTCTTAATTTACTTCGCAAAGAAAAACACAAGGAGTGTTAGAACTGATGTTAAGACAAAATCGCTGAATAAACAAAGAATATTTTGCTCGCAATTTTCGCGAGGGCGGCCTATAACGCGCCGCCGCCGCCGCCGCGCAAACGAGAGGCGATGTTTGTTTATTTGTGTAATACGGTCGTAATAAGACGCGTCGGTCGCGCCCGGCAGCACGCCCGCCTCCCGCCTTAGTTACCTTTCGCATCCGTATCGATCTTCGTGCGAAAAATGTTTCCCGCCGCCCCGATGGAGCGACGCCTAGGTGGTGGTGGTGCCCCGTTGGTCCCCCCGGCATCCGTATTCGGGGTGAGGCCGCCGGAAACGACCGCCGCCGGCCCCCGAAGGCATCGGCTTATTGTCTATTTATGTCGGCCGGATGAATTATTCACGCGCGCCGCGTACCTCTGTAAACGACTTTGAGGTTTGAGTTTTCCGCCGCACCGACTGCCCGAACACCTCCAGGGCGCGCTGCTCAGTGTGGTGCTCGCTCAAAGTGTCACACGTTCACTGGCATTAATTATTTATCGAAAGAAGACCGAATCTATGTCTTAAAACGTGAAGATATTCATTCCCAACGTTCAAAATACGGTTTGACACTCGTTTAGAAAGTTTTTGAAACTCACCTGAGCTTGTTGCTGCCTCATTGAGATCTGTTGTGGCTGGGGTTGTGCGTGTATCGTCTGCTGCTGCATGTATGGATTGTGCATAGGCATCTGCCCCGGCATAGGATACATCAACTGATCCTGTTGCTGCTGCTGTTGTTGTTGCTGCTGTTGCTGCTGCTGGTGCTGAAGCGGAAGGTGGTGCTGTTGCTGCTGCTGCTGCTGGTGGAGATTCGGCGCAATGTTCTTATTCTGTGCGCCCATGTCGTACAGTCCGGTGGGCATGCCCATGTACGACATGTTCGGCTGGCCCGCGCCCGCCTGTGGCAGCTTGCTGTTCACCTGGAACGTCCATTTGTCATAATTCTGAAACACCAACACCAAAGGCGCCACGTGCAATCATACACGAGATACGAACGGCGATATGGGTTGAGGTTAAAGCGCAACCAACAAAATAATAACAATAAAAAGAAGAAAAAAAAACGTTCGTGTATGCGACGCACGGTGTGACCGGGTAATAAGCGCATGCACTTACAACGAATACATATTTCTACATTTGTTTCGTTTATTTATCAAAGCGATAAACAACAATTAAGCCGACCGCAATGAACAATGCGCGAACCGCGAGCGCAATGTCTTTTACTCAAGCCGTTTCCCTGTGTGTAGTTGTTTATGGCGAAAGTCGGAAACAATTCACAATTGTGTTGTCATGTGTTTTGTGCTCGTGTGTACCCATAACACATTGCACTGGTGAATCGATTACATAAGTAAATATTTGTTAATTCACAGCAACAGAAATAATTACGAGATATCATCAAACAAATCTTGCAAAGTTCAAGAACACGGAAATTACATCAACATTGGTAACAAACAATTATTTTACACACTCATCACAATTATTATGAGAAATAATCATTGAAATGAAAAAAAAGTCCAATTGTTTTTCTACCGTAAAAAATCTTCAACCTGCTCGCCGAAGTCAATTTTGATCAAATTATTCCCTCATAAATCAGTAATGTTCAGCACCAAACTTTTCTCAAAAATTATGATTTATTCATATTCTATAAGATCTCTACTTTGCTGATATATTTATAATTTAACTTACAACTTTTATGCACGAAAAAAAAAAGACGCTAAAGAAATTTATTACGCAAATTTCTTATCTTTGCATGCTGCCGATATGAATAGATTTCAGATTCGTGGGTTTTAGATTTCATCAAATCCCGACTCCTGTCGCCGTTTCCCTCCGGAAACTTTCGGGTGCCCAGCTTACGGCTCGCATGTCGCCCACCGCCGCCACATACATATGCATATGCCGTCCCGCCGAAATTATTCAATTCGCGGGGTCGAAAAAGTCTCGAAACTTTTCTAATTTACTCGAAATGGGATCGAAAACGTTTACGGCAATCAAGTCACGCTTGTTCTAGCGTTTATAAACTTACTCCAAAGTTGGCGCAAACCGGGACGAGCCTTCACGGTGAAGACAAAGTTGAAGTACTATTGCTTGCATTACTTGAGCAAATTACAATATCCGACAGTCTACAGGGCCTTCAATCGAACATTTTCGCAGGACTTAATTGGAATTTATAATTGACTTCAAAAGTGTCTCAAGGTTTGCACCAACGCGGTTTTTAGGTGAATTTTACGTAATCATACTAATGATCAAATTAATTAAATGGTAAAACTAAGCAAACACACAATGTACTCGGTAGTCTTCGCGAGTGGGAGCAAGTTGACTATGAAAACAATACTTAATCAATAAACTGTGGACAACTGAAACTTGTTTGCACGTCAACACAGTGGAGTTGCGAACTCAATTAGCATAATAGCGATATTATTAATAAATTAACCTTCCCGTGACATGAACATCCGATGTTATTAATTAGGTGCAAGATATTTTCGCAATCGACATGTGCACGATTAAAAATACAAGAAGTGTAGAAAAATGCCATGAATATGCACAAATATTTAATATTTAATCGTAATTAATAATTAAAAATTAAATTGAAAGGAAAGATAAACATGGTAACATTGTAAACGTATTGCAAAACATTTAATTTGCAAATCGTCCACAAGCCTGCGACAATTTCGCGCGTTGACAAAAGAATTAATTAAATTTCCTCTAAAGAAAAGTGCCATCCATTGGCGCTTCGGCTAAGAAAATTATTGAAGTCGCAAAGTGCTCGCAAAAAAGCAGCAAATATTCCACGGAAAGAAAGGAAAACATTTTCGTTCATCATGTTTAATCCAATTGAAGTTCATTTTCATTGACGATGAACTCGCGCGCCCTGCATGTAATTGCTTTAATTGTGTGCGCGAGTTTCCTGCCCGGAGGCAAAATTCCATCAATTGGAGCAAGAAATTCGTCGCCTAAATTAGACCCGAAAGAATTTTCAGTGCCGCGGCACAGTTAAGTAAGTACCTTAATTGAAATTGATGCAAAGACGACCGACCACCGCGCATCGGGTGTAGGGAAATTCGTAATTATGACGTGCCAAATTAAAAATTTGCTGTTTTTGCAAATGAAAACAAATTGTAGAACTTGTTAGCGTTGCAGAGTCCGCTGATTAAAACATATCACATGCCATAGCGCGGTCGAATATTTTGCAACGTGAAAAATACTACTACGCGCCAAAACAAAGCAAAAATGAGTCACTCAGTCTGTGCAACGCAATATAAATTGATAGTGCAGTAATCTGTACAACATAATGGAGAAATTGCACCGATTAAACATAAAATCATGATGACAATTGTTTTGTAATGTCCAACAATTGCGGTTACATCACACCAATGTTAAAACAAACTTCCGATAATCAATTTTTTAAGTTCAATTTAGCAATATTTTACACTGATAACAGTTTTAACAAACGACAAGTAAATTTAAATCCTATCCAAACCGCAGCGTACTACATTCAACAGAAACAGCTCGAGTTTTCGTGTAATTTAAGTTGCCTATAGTCAACACTCAACTTAGCATTTAAATATCTGTATTTCATCCTATCTTGATTGTAATACCTCACCACAGCTCCAAAATTGTTTGATAAAATTTCAAATATTTATAAGTCATGTTGGCACCCAAGTATGAATTGTTTGCGACTTTTCGGCTTGTGTTTTTGCCCACATTTGTAAACATTTAAGCAGCCAACTCTCAAATTCAACTCACATCAATAATGCTTTCATCTCCCAGTGCCCATCGTGCCTGCTTGTTGCCAAATGTAAGAAATTCAGGATCAGGCGGTCGCTGGAACTCATAGCCTACTGCTGCATCATCCTGGGAACGCTGTGCACGTTCCATCTCCAGGTGTACTACAGCACTTCCATCGCCGCCGCCCAGCCACTTCATTGGTCTCACTGCAAACAATACAACATGAATTAATCTCAAATTGTTACAATTATTCACTAAAAATAACCATACTAATAATTTGTATAAATAAAACACTACATAAACAAATGAAAGTCAACTACGTTTTCGCCGGTATAGACGATGCGCTTTTGTTTTGTTCACTTTGGAGGTTAGGTTCGTCATGCGTTAGTTGCAACTAGCGTTTTTAACGCAAAACATGATTTTCTTGTTGCTTAGGGGCAGAATTCGACGTGCAAGTTATGCGCCTTAGGTGTATGAGTCTGTAGGTATTCGGTACTCACCGGTACTTATGTTGAAGTGCGAATTCGCAGCGAGCGGCGATCAGCAGCGCGGCGTGCGTATTCGTCAACGAACGATGTATGCGGTTTTTGCCCTCGGCGGGTGGAGGACCGCGACCACGGCGGACACACACACGCGACGCGCACTCACGCCGCGGACGCGCGCGAACGAAAAACGAAAACGGAAAATCGCGCACGCAGAAACGCACACCTTATACGGCCGATCGCCTGCCTCGATTGAGACGCCAAGCGCGGAGAGCGGATCAGCGCAGCGCCGAAACCTGCCAACCTTTGCCGGGCGACGCAGGAACGTGTGCGAAACTCGCTGCCCAAGCACCCGCCGTCGATGCTTGTTTTCCGCCCAGCTCTCCACCAGCCCACGACGCTTTCCACTCGTCGTATCTATGTGTTATCTCTCCCTTGTTGTTTGCGTTTTTTTTTCGCACGCGTCAAATCGATCTTCGATCACTACTGCCGGGCGAAAATTTCGATCGACGTCGCTTGTTATTTTTGTTATTTACAGTCGCGGGCGCATTCACCCTCTGTATCTTCGGCGATGATGATTTTTTTTATAGCACACACCTTGTTGCACGCACGCACACTGTACTTACATGTATTATTAGGTATTTTAAGCAAATTTTCGTTAGTCGTTGACCGTGATTATTCGCAAGTTGTTTACCACTAACTATACAAGTCACTATTTACAATTTTACAAAGTGTTCGGCGGCGAACGTTCGTCCACTCAATTTATCCTAGCGACGCGCACGCTCTCATCACCGTTTGTGATCGGAAATGAATTTTAGTCGGGATGCTGCACCCCAACAGGCACGGGCCGGACGTCGATCGTCTAGAACTGACAGCGGACCGCCGATGTCGTCTCGTACGATACTGCGCTCGCCATTTTCTTGTTTGTGTCGCCCGTGCACATGAAGCCAAGTTCGAGATCATATAAATCACATAGATGCAGAAAATTTGTTTCGTTTGAATTAAAATTTCTTTTAAAGATTTTAAAATTAACAATGCTTATTTCTAACTTAAATTATTTAATAGTTTTTATATAATAAAGTGTTATATTGATACAAAACAACAATTTTTTGATTGTAATAAAAATATATTCGATAGTAACTTCTAGAAGATCGCGGTGATTTGTATGATCCGCGTTTTTGCTGCGGCATCGCGTTTGCTTCCATCTTTGTCACAAACTATAGCAGGGTAATAAACATGCAGTCAATGCGCATTGGAATCGTCGCGGCGTCATAAAACAACTATTTTTTGATTTAACATTTATTTACTTCTTTGTTTAATTCAAAATCATTACCTACATTTAATATCTTAAATTTGAATATATTTAAAACTTGCGTGCAAGCTCAAATGTCAACCTTCTTAAAATAAAGCTAAAACTTAAAATTAAAATCGTATACAAGTGTAAACAAGCGACTATACTAAATCAATACGAACGCAAACTCAATGATTTTGCACTTGTTTCGAAATGTGAGTGTAAACGTGCGATGTAGTGGTGTGGATTTTATCGTGCGCGAATATAAGGCCGCGCATCGCCCGCATTGCGCGCACAATTCAAAACCGGCGAGCCCAGCCCACCTCGTACAATGATTCCGGAGCTGCGGCGTGCGCGCACACCCACACACCAACTCATCGTCGATAAATTACGAACGAGTGCATGCGGCAGTGGCGGCGGCGGCGACGAGACGGTTTGCGACGCCGGCAGTTTCAGTGACGCCACCCTCACGTGCATCACAATCGCAATCACGTAAAAACGGCATAATTAAAATGCAACAAAAAGAGGAGCCGCGTTTTTCACGCTGATATGCGGATGCGGATGCGGTTACCAAGAAATGGGTTGCCTTCATCCCTGGGTGAGAAAACTATTTCGCAAGTGGGAAGTGGGAAGGTCTTTGCTTTTCTTCCAACTTTCGCAAATTACACAGCAGTGGTGTTTTTAGTGGCTGCGTGTCATTTCCGCAAAACGTCCCGACTCATCATTAACATTAAATTTGGTCTTTCATCTCGTTATAATTAATTTGATGCAGTAAAAACCAGAAACTTATATAAAAATATGAAAATATCAAAGGGAGTGTTAATGAACATCAATATTTATTCTTTACTTACTATTTGATTTGATTTTATAGCAATTTAAGTGCAATTATTCTTGCGTATGAAACTCTCATGATTGTTGACCTGTTCATCTGTTTAGGCGAAGTTTTATTGATTCATCCTCGCTTCCTTTTCCGCTTCGTTCTTCGCAAACAACTTGGTACGCATTATAAAACCGTGTAATAATTACAGATTCATAGTAACGTCAAAATTTATTACACTAAGTTCACGAATGTTTAAATTTTATGTAAGTTTAGTTTTACAACTCAATGAAACAACAATGTTGCGTTTTCAACAACAATTTTAAGATAACTAATTAATTATACTAAAATTAAAACTAGTCAAGACAATGTAACTACATTTTATACTTTTAACATACGCCAAAATGAGAGTTTGGTTAAGAACCACAACGCCACAGCGCTACAACGGTAGAAACGTGAACTAAACACAAAAGTTACACTAATGTGAAATAGAAAACTAAAAATGTATAAAAGTCAAGCAAAGTAAAATGGGTCGAAAGGTTTAAGAGGATTATGCGGATTGGATGAACAGGATTAGCTGGACATTAAAAAGCTGGCCTCCAGTCACAAAATTAAATGAAAAAAATCCACATGTCGTGCCAAGATATACGATATAGGTACATTCACGTCCTTTAGGCTTATAAAAAAAAACAAATAAAAAAGAATTTAACCAAAATAACAAGAGATTAATTATAATCTTTGATAGAACATTAATTAAACGTATTTCATAAATAAAATAACAACTTACTAACTATTCACTTATATTTTACTAGTATATTTGGTTGCCTATTGTCTCAACACTAATCCAAGCACTAAAACAACGTGTGAAGTCGTTTAATTCGTTTAAAATCTAAAGAAAATGATAAGTGTTTGCAAAAGCTAACAAACTGCGAAGTCTTTGTGTTTATTTCGCGTTGATTTTTATTTCCTCCTTGTCCTTCTTCGCACGTCTGTTACATATTATCTTTTATGCTACATCCTTGCTACCTGTTCTGCCTCAGATTGTTTACTTTAATTTGTCGTATTTTCGCGAACGTTTGAAATCCGCCGAGAAACAAAACAAAAGCCGACATGCATGAGATGCGCCACCGGCACTTACGTGCTGGCATAAATTATACCATGCCGTAACTTTGTTATTCAAGTCGTTGCCAATGCTACCGGCAAAGAAATCCGCGCTCGATATTTACATTTAATGACACATTATAATAATGCGAAGCCGAAGACGGTGCAATTTCAAGGTCGACGCGCCGTTTTACGCTCATCATCGACTTATGATTCAATGAAGATAGGAAGATAGACAGACGTCTCACAAGATTAAAGTATAATTTAAAATTGTATAAAGTACTTCATTCGAACAGAACCGAACTTAAATTTATTTTGTACTGTGCGTGACTTCGTCCCGGTAGTGTTTAATAAAAATGTAATTCGTTTGTACCCTCTTGTTCTAGACATAGAATGTGTCAATTTTATCAATAAAATACGCAATTTTATTTTAAAGAAATTAATTATATAAAGAATTGCTAATAATGCACTTCAGCGCGCCATCTCGGATTCAACTATTTAACTATAACTATGATTGAATCTTAATGCCAACTTTTATCCCATAGAAAAGAACTGTTTTTAGGGTTTCCCGGCAATTATTCTAATTTTTCTCGCCGTAAAAACCATCCTTGGACTTTTACAAACATTTAAAAAAAAGAATTGGCTAAATTGGCCTTAGCGTTGTTGAATTATGCGCTTACCAACAGATTTTGCGATTCATTTTTATATTATAGGTGTTACAATACATTAATCTATTTCAATTTAATATAAATACGTTACTGAACGTAAATTTATGACTATTCAGAAAAGTTGAAGTCAAGGTCCGAGTTTTTGTTGTCCCTTTATTCCACATTTACGTGTATTTCTATCTTACGTTTTGTTTCACGTTATATTAATACAAAACCTGTCTTCAATCGAATTACTTTTGACTTCTAAGCGTGTACAACTGAAGACACACAACATCCCAAGTGTTGGAAACACTCTTGGTTTCTTTTTCTTCGTTTTCATCGTATATTGCAATGGAAAACAATGCGCGACCAGAGCAATTTGTTTCAATTCGTTTGCTTCGCCGCGGTAACGCGGTAATCGCTTTTAAAGTACTAGTACTAACTTTAACTTTATACATCGCATATATCCTAATTCTTTGCTCAGTGACATCTTACATTTTCCCATCTGCAATCTGCAATTTACGATTTACAATTGGCTATTTGCAATTTTATTGCATAAGTTTTTTTTCCGTATTCTATTATTTCAAGAGTGTAAACGCCAGCGATTTGTTTGGCGTCGATTCACAAGTGGTAAATAATTGTAATTTATTGCTTCTCAGATTGAGAGAGGCATTGGGACATTTGTAATCTGTCAATTTAAGCGGTAATCGCCACAACAATCGCTTGATATACTTGTGGGTGGACATGGGTGGAAACCAGGCAATCAATTCATCGGCAAATTGCTGAATGTCTTCATTGGTCGCTAAAATCCACGATTTCAGCAATCGCGTAATTGCCAATTGTAATTATGTACTAATGTAATTAGTAATTTCTCGTTGTGACCTTACGTTAATTATAATTTAGAAAAATACAATGTTATAGACATTTTTAATCGCAAATGCAAAACAATTTTCTTTTTTATTTATTTTTTTTGTGAAAAATTTAAGAAAATAAATAAAAATTAACCTCAAATCTATATTTAATAAAAGTACAGTTTATTTTCCCTTAAAAAACGTTAATTATTCTTAATTTACCTTAATTTCTTGTAGAAAAAATAAAAAACATTTTATGTCAAATTGCTTAACCTTTGACATATTCTCAACAAAAGCGAATTCACCTACATATCCAAATTCTACCATCTGATTCAATTGATACAAATAACAATAAAAAACATTTAGTACAATGATGAATATCATATCGAAACCTTTCATATAGTACCGAAAAACGGTTTGCGAGTTATGGAAGTCGATAGAAACATTCCACGCTCTATAAAGTCACACACACGATTAATACCTATATGCGTGCATGAGCCGATGCTGATGTTATTGACGTTTACGAATGTGATTGTGCGTTTAGCTCCTGTGTGTGCGAGCAGTGTTTGCGCTGCTATTGTTACTATTATTGGTGGAATTACGTACGCGATATTGGTTTCCTTATTGCCGCATTGATAAAATATAAATGTGCTTCTTGCTGGCTTCGTGGTTCAAAGGCAGGGTTGAATTTTTCAACAGTTCATAGCCATTCATAACTTTTTCGTGTGTGTGTAATATTCGTGTAATATACAGGCAATAAAAAATAATTTTCAAGAATTAATTTGAGTACTTTGAATGTAAACTGTAAATTTTTATTTTGTAAAGTTTTGATAATACTTTGTATGTAGTTTAAAAAAATTGAATTACCTTAAAGTATTCTAGTTGTAGTTCAAAGTACTTGTGTGTAATTGATGTGTACACAACATAACCTCACATGAAAAAAATACTAATACATGTGACCCGTGGTCATTGGCTGGTTTTATCGAGAATTGAATAAATTGGTGTCGTCCCTAGGTGGGACATCAACTCGGCGTGACTTCAGAACTTCAGGTGGTCGCAGTGTGGATGTGTCTCGCGTTCGCTTACCCAGTCGACGACGACGCTCGCTCGCTGCCGCCAGCAGCACGACAAACGCTCTCAAAACGTTTTCATACGTAATTAATTACTAATTCAACATTTTAAATTCGAAATTCGTCGGGTTTTTTCATTCTCTTTAAATTATTTTTTTAAAATGGCTGTTGGAGTTATACATAACCTAATCCCGCACAAAGTGATGTGTACATTTTGGATGGTGTTGTTTGCTACACACGTGCACGTCAACGGTTATCGCACGCATTGGTGGAAGCCGGACAATCATAATTACAATCACAATCAAATCGGGCAGTATCAGGATGGTGGCGATAGTTATCATCCACCGCCTGACCACGGGCACGCTTACGTGCACGACTCGAGGATACCGAAGGACATCATGGTGGACGTTATTAATAATATGGGATTAGCGCTGCTGGAAGTGAGTCACATTCGCAATTCTATTGAGCATTTGAAAACCGCCGATTAGTTGACCGGCTCATCTCGCAAATAAGTGTAACTGTACTCGCATAATGTAATTCGCGTAATCGTGTCGCATAGTTAGCAGATTTTTACGTCGAATTATCCTTGCCGGGCACAATCGACTGATGCTAGATGTGGATGTTGATTAGAGACATTGCAGTTAATTCGCGTTGCATAATGAAGGCTAAATTATTTACTATTTCATATCTGACATTTAAAAAATTGTTTTATGTTGTTATTTTAATTCTTTTAAATTAACTTGTCACATTTTTATGCTATAAAATGAATTTTTTTGTTTTAATTAATTTTTATGTGATAAAATGTGGAAAATTATTGTTTTAATAACGGAATTTTGCTGAAATTTATTAGCATACATTTAGCTAATCAATACCTAATGCAATTCATATCAGTGCACCATATGCACTCGAGCTTTTATTGAACGTATGGATTTTATTAACACTAAATACCAGTTATATGTTCAGAGTGCCCCAACGCCCAATAACCCAGTTATCAACTATTATAAACAATTAATAGCACATAGATCTAGTAAATAATAGCATTTCATAAATTATTCAAACAATATATAATCCGATGAAATTAATAACATAATAAATTGAAAAAATAAGCATTTTATCGCAAATGCAATATCATAAATGTTCATACGCGCAGTTTATTTAATTATTTATAAGGTTAGTATTTATACCGCTTACTTATTTGTTTCCAAGACGCAGGCTAAATTTATTCGTCCGATTTAAACTTTTGCGTCGGTATTACCTACCCTGTAACCTTATATGTGAATAACTTAAATATTTGAAATCGCAAAAGTTGGCGAATTGGCAAGGGAGTCCAACAAGCAAGCATAAAAAGGCATATATTATGTGCACCAAAACAGCATTATGTAGAAATTGTGATAATAAATGTAGAGCAGGGTAAATGTAGGGATATAACGCGTTTGTTTATGCCAGTATGGGAATGTTATTATTGATTATTTCGGATGGCTAATTTATTCGTTTTTGTTTTGCGCGTTATTATTATGTATGTGTAATGTATCAACAAACTAATGAAGGTTGCGTATTAACTTTAATAACGCGATCAAATAGGTCAACAGATATTTGAATAATTAATATTTAGGGTGGTTAAATATTAAATTAACTTTTCATAAACAAATTCGGTAGTGTATTTTTAGTTTAGGGGTAGTGAGATTTCTATTTGTGATTTGCTACATTTATCTCCATATTAAAGCAAAAATTAACTAATAAATATCAAAAATATGAAAAAAACCACTCATCAAATTTTGACAATTTTAGGCATAGAAATATTTTAAACTAAAAAAAACCAATAGACTACTTTCTGTCTAAAAAAATATAATAGACATAATGCAAAATAAGGAATAAAGTTGGTATGTAGATTCAATCATAATTTTAATTGTATAAATCAAAGCGATAAGCTAAAGTGCTTTTCTCATTTCTTATTGGCACAGCCGACAAACTAAAGCTCCAAAATAAAAATTAAAATAATTAGTTCGTCAACTTTTCAATAATATTTGACAAAAAAATCAGAAAATTGCCAAATTTGCGCATGGAAATTTTGTTGACTACTAAATTAATTTCTTTGTAATTTATTTCTGCCACTTCTTGACCCTAAGGGTGCATATTGACACCTTAAGCCAAAACTGTAATATTTTACTACACCCCCGCTTGTGTGCTACATGCGCGCAGTTTTTCAATTGCTCGTTAACTCGTCGAGCAAAGTGGCATTGCGCGACGCCGCGCGCCGCCGTCGGTTGAATAGGTGCAAGCTGTGTAACGTGTTGTATCTAGGTTAATTACGGCAATCGACGGAAAGTGTCGTTCTACGTGCGTCAAACGACGCGCCACCGCCGCCGCCACCCGCTGCAACGCACAGCAGACGCGTCCTACAAAAAAGCAGCTCAACGATTTAATCCTTTCCTCACTTTTATTATATTGCATCTTACACGCCGAACTACATAATGTCTAATAACGAACGAAATTTACCCACGCTACACACACCTAATGTTGATTCACCTGTGTATTAACACAAGAGGCGCAGCATAAAAACAATAATCATCATTTGAAATGGGAATGAATATGGTGTTATCTAATGGCAGTATTTAGTCCTAAAAAGAAGACTAACTATTTCATTTCTGAGCTTTTAGGCGAAATACGTGCTTACTTTGTCAATAAAATTCACGATTTTAATTTAAATCAATTAAAAATGCTAATAATGCGCTTTATCTCCATCTTGAATAAAATTATATACGTGTAACTATAACTATGATTGAATCTCTTTGGTTAAAAATATTTTTACTTCTTCCACGTATAAAGCGGTTTCCATGGTTTTTAGACACCAAAGTGTTACTTTATATATGAACAGTCAAGCCGTGAGTAATATCCATTATCTACGGGTATTATCTACGGAACGGAGTTTGCGCCTGCGCATTTGCCTTCGGAGCAGCACAATATATAACAAAAAAATCATTAATTAATATTTGTATTCATTTTATAATACAATTCGACAATGATAAATTAAAGCAAATAAATTACGCTCTAAAGAACAAAGGTCAAATTGAACATTTATTTTCATGTGTCTGAAATTTTGTCAAGCGATGTAGGATTAATTAGACTTTCAAAAGCCCACGCAAAAAAGATGATGCTCCTGTTCATTGAGGAACAAAACGATGATGATACGTTATCAAGCGTATGAGCCTCATACCGTGTGAATTCACATAAATGATAATTAATTATACGTATAATAAAAACATTTAATAAATTTAAAAATTGTTTTCTAGAAATTGGATTGAATAATAGCAAATGTTTTTATTCAATTATAATTATATTATTATTTACTATCACTTGAATTTATTGCTTTAACTAATTCTCTTAGGCGAACAATAGTTCACTCTATATTTGTTTATTTATTTATGCTTCGAATGGAAGCACTTGGTGCTCAACTGCGAATTTAAAAAGATGGCTTTAATTATTCGCTCGCTTCTCGCGAGTTCAGCGAGAATGGAATTAAATTTTATTCGTGCGGATAAAGACTCAAAAGCAAAGTCAGAGGGAATTTATTGTTTTGAATCAAATGTATAAGTAAATAAGAGTAAATAAATAATTAATCGAAACAAATTAAATATCACACAAAGGCAAAATACTTTGTGACTCACTGGGTTATTTTTATAAAATAAATAATTACAAGAAATATTTAATTGTATAAACAATTAAATTACTCTAAAAGTTCTTATAATCAATATTTTTTACCTAGATAACTGTTTATAATAATCTTCAATTATACTAAAATTCCAACTTTTTTGTTAAATAATTATGTAGTCAATTACAACCACAGTTAATAAGATTGTTTTTAACCAAAACTAAAATTTTTCCTTTAATCTGAGATTTGATTAAGTAGTACATAATTATTAAGTGTGTAAAATGTACATTTTATATACTCCGTGCCCAAAGCGTTAACTTTAAACATTTACACTCGATTTTTTTTGTTCTAAATAAAAAGTAAAAGTATCTTCAATATAAAATACCACATCAAACGTTGTAAATAATTCAAAGAGATGTATGCAACAGATTTATACCAAGTTAATTTACATGCAAATGGAGATGTTGCTGATAGCTGCCACGCAGTAAACAACAAACTGTTGACAATTTGTTCCGATTTGAATGCTATTTACTTATCCATGCCGAATGCCACAACAAACAACGCGACGCAAAGAGTAATTCGTTATAAAATATATCCAACATCCAAAATTGTGCAAATACCCAACTCTCAACTGCATGAATTATTTATGGATTAAATATTAATTACAATTTTCAACTGGAAACAAACGACTTCAAAACCAGAAGTTTCGAAAACGAATTATAAATCGCTGCGACTGTTTCATTAGTAAAAATAATATTTACAATAATATTTGCATTGCATTGTGATGCTTGTAAAATTTTAACTAATTTTATGCTATTCATATTTGCAATCAAAATGAAACGCGATTGTAATTGTACTATGCGTACAATTCAGAAAATAGAATAATTGACGAACGTACAATGCCATTTTATACAATGAATAAATTTATTATTGCAATATTGCATTAGGATGGATAGATGCTACAGCACGAAGGATGATAAAAATGAGGAAATGATAAATATGGCAATTTATAGTTGATGGGTGATGGATTCAGGTGCTAATTTGCGAAATTGCTGAAAGGGAAAAGAGGAAAAAAATGCGCATATCATTAACCTTGTCACCGTTGTCTGACGGACTGATTTTTTATGTAAATTGTTTTCAAATGCACAGCAAATGAATAAATTGAAGCATTTTATTACGTTTGAATTCAATATTATATCACCAGTGCTTTAAATTTAGTTTTATTTAATGTTTAAATTTATTTCTACGCAGTCAATAAAAAAATATTAATGTCATGTTGTGATTGTAAAAAAATTATCATTATTTGCAAAATAAAACCAAGATTCGTAATATTTTCAAGGCTCATAATGAACACAATGAAAACAACATTGCCATATCACCCTACGGAGCAACAAGCGTCCTCATCGCAATATTAGAAGGTTTGGCCGGTGAAGCGGCCTACGAAATCAAAATAGCCACACAACTGCCACCAGATTTGTCCGTCGTGCGCATCGGACTACGAGACATTCACCGCCATCTCAAGGTAACAAAAAAACGCACCAAAGACACAAAATTCTTTAATTTAATTACTTTTAATTATTGTGAATTATTGCCAATGTTCGACTCGTTCAATTGTTTTAATTAATATTTAATTGATTCTCCACAAAAACAACAATAGAGTTATTTCATACCGAAAGAAGGTTTCCTCGCTGGCCTAACCCTGAGTCACGACAATATCACGCTAAATCGCGAATACCAAAGCATCCTGAAGTTCTACGGCTACGACATCGACTCGTTTAACAATCCGGTGTATCCTGATATCTACGACTCCACTACCAGTCGCAGGCCGGCAGTCACCATGACCACAGGAAAGATGAAACCAACAACGACAATGCCGCCGTCGGATATGACTACAACTACAGAACTACCGGAAACGACGACCTTGGAATCGATCAGTACTATTATCGATAAGCTCACCAGTACACTGCCTATGGATGGTGATGTTACAGAAAGTACAACAACTGGTACCACCACAACTGAAAGTGTTACTAGTACAAAAAGACCCAAAACTACTAGAAAGAAAAGACCAAGAACTACCACTGAAATGCCTTCTACTACACTATTACCATCGCCTAATGATGAAGATGTAGAAGGTACCACTACGAAAAAATTACCAACAAGAAGTTATACAACCGAAGCGATTGATGTTACTGATCCAGAAGGACGTACAGAAACATTTTATTCTATGACCACAACGCTTAAAAGTGCTGAGAGTGAAGACCGGTCAGAAATACCAACAGAAACTGATGTGGTCACAGATACCACGTTGACTTCCATAACCAAAGAGGAATTTAAAAGTACCTCGGCAAGTTATGAAAGTGAAAGTGATGATGAGCCTGGTTTTCGTACCGAGGAAGAGTTTGATTTTAGTACAATCAGAATACCAACAAGTCCTGATGGTGTCACTGCCATATCATCGTTTAAAACAACCAAAGGGACATTTTTTGAAGCTACAACATATTTACCAAGTAGAACTAGTACAAGTGGTACCACAACTGGTGTACCTTCAATCACGGAAGTTTTTAGACCAAGTACACCTCTCACAACAACAGAAAACAGTGACATTACCCTTGCATATGAAATCCCGGAGGGTAGTACCTTGAAATATGAGTCAACCACATTTGAAGGTACCACATTTTTTGCAATGGAAACAACTTCAGCGGAAACCATAACTGCAACCACTGATAAACCAAGAACCCCCACAACTATTACTCCTGGAGTAGTGGGTACCACACAAACAGAAGAGTTTGTAACCTTCACTGAGCGTGACAATGAAATTTTTTCGGAACTTAACCAGAAACTCACAAAAACAGAAACATCTTCAACTATAACCACCACAAACACTCCAGTTTCAGAAATTACTTTCACAACAACAGAACCAATGACAGCTTATACTCAAACACAAAATACTGAAGCCACAAGCCTCGAGGATAAAATCCTAGGTGAAAGAACTTTTCCTGGTAAACCCCAAAACACCTCATCGTTTAAAATAGCAGCAAAAATAATAACCACAGAAAAACAAACGCGAAAGAAACGTAGTGTTATTGATTATCTCATTGCAAGATACTACGATGATTATTACATCAATAATAATCGACGTTATCTTCCAATGAGCACACCAAAGACACATTATTTCAATTATCAACCTGAGGAACCATACACGTTTCTGGTAAACGGTAAACATAAAGAGACGAATATAAGTTTCATGACTTACGATACAATCCTGCCGTTCTATTACATCCGCTCGTTGGACGCGATGGCGTTGAGTTTTCCACTCGACAGCAATATGTATTATTTACTGCTGGTGCTACCGCTGGATCCGCATGGCATTGATAAGCTCGTCTATGAAATGAGGAAGGCCACGAGCTTACGCAACATTGTTGAGAAGCTGCAGTATACGCACGTCAAGGCTGTTATTCCAAGTTTTATGTTGAAGGGTTACGTTGTTTTAACGCCAACTCTACAAAAGGTAAGAAAATGTCATCAGGATCATTTTTTTATTTAAAAAATGATTTTATTAGTTGTGTATACGGAAAATCTTTGAACCACGCCATGCGAATTTTTCACCGATGACGCCGGAGCGAAATTTGTACGTGACGAACATCGAACAGGCGGTGACTGTAACGATACGAAATTACGTCGATCCTGCCAGCCACTCGGCACGTGAGTATACCTCTATTCTTTGGTTCCTTCATTGCGTCTCTTTAGAGTCGCAAGGATTTGCCTTATCATCATCACGGCGCTTGTTAACGACGAGCGCTATAGGTGTTAAATGTCTTAATAACGCGCATTTCGTCGACGTCGGGATGAATTCTTGCGACGAATCACTTTCAATTTCGTACGTTTCATGATTATCGCACGTAAAACGTACGCGAGGCACGTAATTGGACCTTGCGAGCGCGCCGTGACAACGCCGATGAGATTTTAAGGAATTTCGTCGATTCCAGGGACTCTTTGAGTTGTCAAAAGTTAAATTAGCTTGTTATGCGAGAATGTCGCTGATTGAGACGATGTTGACGGATAAAAAAAAATGTTTGTAAAAGGACATTGAAAGAAACAAACGTTCCGAAAGAAAAGATACTTAAGAATGAAAACATTGAAACATTACGATGTGAAAAAATTAATTGAGCGTGATGAAGTTAACGATGGCTAAATTGCCTAAAAGTAATCATACCAGGTGTTGCGTTTGTATTAAATAATATAAAACTACAAACAAAACAAACTTTGATTTTTTCCGTAGTTTTGCTTTATATTTTTATGTTTTTCAACAGAATAATTCAAGGTGTCATCTTTTTGACACTTTTACTTAGTAAATTAAGTATTTCATTTAGGTAAGAATAAAATTGCACACAATTAAGACGAGTATTTCACACTCAGCGTCATGTTTTACTTGCGCATCGGTCTGCGCATACAAAGATTAAAATTAAGAAATTAAAACGCTTTGAATTTGATAATTGTGGCATGATGTTTCGTTGCTTCGCGTGTCGTGTAGTTGTACGGTTGTGTCGTTTCATAATTTTTCGCATAATAAAGTCGTTAGCTCGCGAGTCGTTTAATTATTGCATGAGCTCCCGAGTGCTTTGGTGGTCTACGCGCGCCACAGTTGAATATTACGTCGAATTAAACGGCGCGATGCATTCGTGAACTCGCGAACAATAACGACGAACTAGAACACTACCAAAGCAGACCGAATCTTAAGACTTGAATGAAAACGAATGTGAACTTAAAATGAAAACAAATACTTGAAATAGAACATGACAAAAGCATTAAAGAGTAGTGTAATTAGTAGATATCGAAATTAAATTTACTACTCAATTAAGTAATAAGTTAAAAGTTAAATTAAACGTATGATTTTATTGTTAATTATTTATTTTTCAGGAAATTTGGATCATTATCGACCAACAGAGTTTCGTGCTGATCATCCTTTTCTTTACTTCGTCATGGATAGCCAGATACACGTGAATTTAATGGCGGGTAAAATAATAAATCCGCTAAATTCACGAATCAGATAAACATTTGTGTATAAAACGATTGATACTAAAGCAATGATGTGAATAATATTTAAGTTTAGTTAAGATTGCAATATGTATTAAACTGTCATTAAATTATTTTAAGTACTTTTAAGGTCTTTAGCAGATATTGTACCTATGTTATTGCTTCTAAAAGTTAATATAACAACTTTGAATATGTTTCTAAGGTAACAGCTGACACATCATGCACGTTGACATTTCATAACCATTTTCTAATCATTTGTAAATTTTGGTACAGCAATTAGCACGTATTCAATATCAAAAAATGGTTCTTGGTGCCTTTTATGACTTCTTTGGGCGCAACTTTTCGGAATGTCGATGCCGACCCGAACCGAAAGGAGATCCACTTGAATTTAACCCAGGGGCGGCTATAAATCTTGGATATACCTGGCTAAGCGTACGTTGCTATAATTTTTTACATTATTCCTCGTTAAAACCATCGAGATCAAAAATTAAATTACTGAGCAATTAACCTAGCCGTTCTCAGATTTAGTAAAGATCCCCCATGGGATTTTTGACCGCAATAGCAAGAGGGCATGCCTGTTAATGACGCGACTAACCCAAACCTAGAACCCTGCGACCCCTAGACAATTCTGGCACGACTGAGCAGAGAGAAAAGTCAGGGTCACCCCTTTATACCAGTGGCGGAGCAAAGCTAGGGAGTGGGGGAAGGTGCACGTTCAGGAGACCACCATACTATGGTCTAACTACGTGACCAATAGCGGCGCATCAGCCCCCTCTACTTTTTGCGGATAGTCCTCAGGTATAAAAAAGGAACCCACAAGCGCGCCCCGCGCTCAGTCGTGCTTGAGTCATCCAGTCGCAGGTGTTTAGGTCCCACTCCCTGCTTTCTATGACTCATAAATGTAGTATAATCTATAATGATTTCTTCCCAGTTCTTTAAGAGATTAACAGTGCCACCTTACGCCGCCGTTCCCACCCCGCCCTGCAAGCCACCATGCAGACGTAAATGCTGTAAAAACCGACGAAATCCACAGCCATGCAATGTTCTATGCAAAAGGAAACGCAAGAAGAACGCAAAGCAAAAGAGTTGTGGCAATCCTTGCTGCAGTCACAAGCCATCGAACCGTTAATATAATCCACTAGGAACACAAAATACGCCTACTCAAATAAATAGCACTGATGGCAACGCAATAATCAATGAAGTGGTAAAAACAAAATTTTATGTTGTCATGACTAATGATATTGAATAAATAAATTAACGTCAAATTCATAAAAACGTGTCGAAGAAGGTCGTCAAAAATAATGTGACGTCGTTTTTATATTTCGTTCGTGTTTGTGCAAACGCACTTTTGTCATACTTGTCTAGAATTCGTGAAAAAAAAAACGTTAGAAAACCGGGGCGGGCAAACAAATCAAATGCTTTAATCAATTTTGCATATTTTAACTGGGGAATTAAATTTGTGGGATTGAATCAGCCAAAATTAATTCATATTTTACTAGTTTATAAAACGGAGTTAGATTGATTAAAATTTTGTACGTTTTGAACTCATTGGCAATATGTTTTCCTGGCTATATCGATGGTGGTGGCGTAACGATGATGAGGAAGATGAAGAATGTGAAGATGGCGACGATGAAGTTAATTTGGCTGCACGATTAGGCATTTTTTACATTCAGGTAAATGTTTTAGTGCAAGACTAATGGATTTGATCGATTTTATGCCTTTGTCATTAGTTGTTCCAGAAATTATTGATACCTGCACATGTGAGGGAATCGAAATATGCCAACCAGAATCCTTATCATCGCATCTTCTATAACCCGAATAGCAATCCGCCAACCAAACGCGGATAATTTGTCAAATTAAAGAGTACTCACCCCAACGGCCGCGTAGAAGTATAAAACTATGTCCATAAAAATAAAAATGTAACTGTTAAACTGACACTGAAGAATAAATTACTCGACTTTCAATTTGTCCGTTTTTAAATGTCAAAAATTTTAGATAGGCAACTTACAATACACCACATGTGTAACAGTGGTGTAGACGTAACCCCAACTTGTATTCATCATTCATCAAACGCGTTTGCAGATTTGTTGAAATAAAATGAACTCTATACGAACATTGTTAATAAAAGTCGTCTTGACGCAGTGCCATTAAGAAACTATGCGTTTAAAAGTGATTTGAAAATAAAATGGGCGCGTCCCGAGAAGATTTCGTGCATCAAACCGCAGAAAAGTGGCGATTTAGAGCCGATGCCTCAAATCAAAAATTCTCAGCTTGCTTACGATTTCCGAAACAGCAAGGAATTGGAAACTGCTGATGAATTAGTGCGACGATTATTTACCCTGGAGTTTCAGCCACGTAAGAAGGCAACGCAAGTGTACATTAGATCAGTTGTCGCGAATGTAAACCGGCATGATCTTGACAAAGGTTCAATTGAGGCAAGAATTGCACGTTGGACGGGAGCTATCCGTGCTCTTCAAGAACAAGCCGAGAAATTCCCACGTAATTTACGACTTAAAGTCAATCTTAAGGAACTTATTGACAAGAGAAAGAAGCATTTGAAGTATTTAAGAAGATGGGATTACAAAAAGTTTGAATGGTTGCTGGAGTCATTGAATATTGTCTATAAACCACCACCAAATGAATTCAGATGGGTGGTCAGGAGGGAATCACTTGTGAAACTCACCAAGAAGTATTGTGATCAGGTGACTGATGATAAACTTAAGGAGTATAGGATGCTGCTAGCCCAAGAACATCCTGCATTCTTGGAAGAAAAGGCAAGGACCCTAGAATTTCTTCGTGATGAACAGAGGGAATGTGGAATGGAAGTCACCATAACACAGGAGGAAATTGATGCTGCCAAAGCACAACTTCTGAAGATACAACAGGAAGCTTCTTTAAAATCAAATGAAACAAATTAATCTATGCAGATAGTTATGTAAATAAATAGTTATTAAATATGTATCTAAATTTTATTACAATTACCAATCATCCTGTCTTAGTCTATAAGTTGAGTTATCACTTCTTATTACATCCACAGCTGGGCCAAAATGTGGCATGACATAATGAGATCCATCAGCTGGGCCAACATAATGTGTTGCAATGAGGATGATGTCCACAAGTTGGCCAATGAACATAAATCCCAATGTGCAAAACTTAGCAAGACCTATTGCTGGATAGCCCAAGTAAAATCTATCAGCCCCAAACATTCCCAGGAACACTGAGAGTAACATTGTTGTTTCGAAGGAGTATCCATTTGTCCATTTGCAGGGCACTTCTTTGAAGAATGTGGAGTTTTTTGTTTCAGTGCACATTAAACCTTCTACAGCAACACATTGCATGAGGGCTTTGTTGTTTTTCTTGCAATTGCGCAATTGCTGCGTTTTGGGATCAATTTGGTTGTAAAATCTTGGATCTGGGCAAAGGTACTGGCCCATTCGTAATGTGCTGCAGTCTACTTCATATGTGAATGGGGAAGATTCTTGTGAACTGAATATCTGTAGAGCAAATAATGCCAGAATTACTAATATTCGTAGAATCATATTAAAATGACAATGTTTTATTCTATAGTGTTGAATTAATTCTTGCTCAGATGGTATTAACTCAGCTTAAGTTTATCGCAAATATGAGAATTGTTTCTGGCAGGTTATATTTTTGGTACACAGATCATACAAATTGGAAAATTGAGACTCATAAAATATTCGCAATTTACTTAATGTAGTTCAGCAAACAAAATTATGCCCTAAAATTTATTTAGTTTTGTTTAAAAAATTATTGTTATTTTATAATGTCGTTAAGTAATTTCATAAATGTAGACAATTGTTAAATATATATGATCACTGCACATGAAAAGAAGAGTTTTAGGTTAATAAGAATAAAATTATCCAAACAGCCGAAACAATTAACTAAAATGAATGTCCTTAAAAAAGTGCCGTTGCGAACACTAAGTACTTTCCTAGAGAATCACACTCGCAATATTAAACCAGTTATCTTGTAAGTAAAAGTTTAGCTACCACTTTTTTTTTCTTGTCTTATATAAAACAGTATTTAATAATTATAATATTTATTAGTATCAATATAAGAAACGTACACAAATCGACACCACCTCCACCCCCTGAAGAACCTAAAAAATCTAAATTTATGGAATTCTTTGATGATGAGAAAAACTGGGGTGCAACTGAAGTAAAGTCTGGTCGAAGCTGGAAACTAGAAGAACTTAGACTAAAATCAAATATTGACTTGCATAAGTTATGGTACATTTTACTCAAAGAGCACAACATGTTGTTGACCATGGAGGAGGAATCCAAACAGCAAACCAGACTATTTCCAAGCCCAGAGAGGCTTGATAAGGTTAAAGATTCCATGGATAATCTTGAAGCAGTAGTCAAGGAGAGAAATGTAGCCTATCACATGCTAGAAACTGGAAAGCCTGGTATCAGGGAGACTAAGCCAATGAAGAATCCATTTGGATTAGAAGTACAACACACTGAACAAGAATATCTGATACCAAAAGAACAGAATGAGGAATGGCTAAAGGAACATAGCTTCAATCCAGATGATCCTGATGTGAAAAAGTTTTTGGCTTTGTATAGAGAACAAGAAGCTAAAAAACGACGACAGGCTAAGACGTAATTATTCATGTTATTTTAGTATACTGGCTATAACATTTGTTCTTTGGTTACAGGAGAGATTTTAATCATGTGATTGGATTGTTAAAAAGATATCCGAAAGTGGATTTGGAAGCTGTCAAGGAGCAATATCCTGATGTGGATATTGAAAAAGCTAAGAGAAATAGCAAGGCGCGAGGCCATTATGTGCCATCAAAGTATAACATCAATCAATAATATATTAATCATTATAATTACTAATTCGTTCTTTGAATACATGCATAAACTTTAGTACATGGCAGTCCTTTCTTAAATTACATTTTATGCAAGCTATTTCAAATAGTTAAGTTACAAGACAAAATAAAAATCACAAAGACATTTCACAATACTTTTAAATACTTTAGGTAGGTTGCAATGAGGGTATCAGGTCTGAGACCAAACTGGACAGTAATTGCATGTCTGGCACTGACAATGTTTGTCTCTTTCGATGCCGTGTCAATTGATAACTGTCAGACATAAATCCAATCATGAAAAGTTCAGTCGATTCCTGGATAGCTTCCAGCGCCTTGCTTTGAAAGTGAAAATCGCCATATTGGTTCGCGATTTCTTTGATTAGTCGCGCGAATGGCAATCGGGGTAATGTTAGCTTTGTTGAATGTTGCAAGCGTTTTATTTCGGTAACGAGTGCTTTACTCGCGTAAAACTGATGCATGCGATTGCGATGGTGCATTACTGCCCTTGCCTTCTTTATCGAACGATTTACCTTCTTTGAGCTGGATGCAACTTCTTGTTCTTCTTGTTCGGATGAATCCCTGGATTCAGATCTTGATTCATCTTCAGAAGACGACATGATGCAGACTTTGTTTCGTTTAATTAGAGTCGGAAATACAAGAACACGATACTGTACCCTCAGTGTTTGAGCACAAATTGAACAATGAACAAAGGAACGAAAAGTGCAATCGCAGATAAAAAAAACGTTGACCACGTGCCTTAACAATTTAAAAATCGCCAAAAAACTTTTAAATCTTATGATTATGTTAGGCCACTCACTAAACATATTTCAAGTTTATAAATTCCGCTAGTGGCGTTGTGATCGCATAAATCATTTGACAGCCAGCGATGAATGCGCCATCTACAACCTACGATTACACCAGTAAAAATGTCACAATGGTCGAGTTGATGGTTGTTGTCGAGCGTTAAAACAATTTGTGCAGTGTAAACGCGCCGCGTATCGTCAAAAACAAATAATGAACAATTCGGTGGGCTGCATTGCGACGACAACGGCGAACCATCCGATTGAAAGGCAGCACGGTGCGCGCGACCACATCGATGCAGGTAAATCCTCGCGACAGGTTCGCGAATGACGTCACGACAGGTTAACAATGCCTATTTATTTGTTGATTGTCCTAATAAAATCGCGTGCACAACGCTTTAACACCTAGCATAAAACGCACGGAATGTATATAATATCATGTAAACGATATTTAAAACGATCAAGGCGCAGTCGTAATCGTAGACAAACGCATAGTGCTTTATCCATCAAGACTTTCAGTCAACGCCAGGATTGTGTTTTGCTTGCGTCGTAGTTCATAGCATTAATTACGATAAATATGTACTGATATCACAAGTTGATTTCGACGCGCATGGCATCGTCTCGTTGATAATTACGCGCGTATCGCGATTGATTACTGCTTACCAAGTTGAACGCAACTGCGGCAATGACAATGACGATCAGGCGCGAATCATGTAAAAGTTGCAACAATTGTGAAAGAGTAAGAAAGAGTGGTGAAAAGTCATCGGGGAAACACCTGGTGTTTACATGTAGTTTGTTAGTCTGACGTGCAGTGGATTAACAGTCGGGTCGCAATGCTACAATGCGTGATGCAACCGGTGTGTGCTACTGCTAGGTGAAACCTCAGGTGATGTGGGTGCGTGCGCGAATTTCCCGCACATATTAAATATTCAACATTGTACATGTGCCAGGGGCGGCGACTTTCAAGTCCTGACATAATTCCAAATAAGTGAGGCGAATTTATCTTATCATTTTCGTTTGATTGTTGTGATAAGTGGTCGGAGAGTCAACGGTTATGATTCAACCGAGTGGATATTGTGCGAACGCTACTTGCTATTAGCATTAACTATTGTCAATGTTTAATCGGTTATCAGTCAATGAGGTTTATGAGTGTTGTTTTATTTAAATGATAAATCATCGTTGTTTATGGTGAGTGGTTTTAATCGCAGCCTCGAGCTGTCATTGCATAGACAATTTTAAATGTTTTATATTTAGATTATGCTACAAAAAATTTAAGCTTTTGCAAATGAAACTTGTTAAATATTTATGGGCCCGGGTGCTATGCGGTAAAACTTGGTTATTGCACTTTTTATAGTTCAGCTTTCCTTTAAACATGTTGCATTATTGCAAAAATGTGGATTATTATGAGCGTTGTGTTCATAATTTCCATTTTCTTAGCGGGAGATGATACGGTAATAAAGATACTGAAATATAAATTATTGATTTAATATTTTAACGTTTTTACTAGTTTAAGAATGTAAATTAAAGTAGAAAACTGCGCTCATTTACCGTTCAAAGTTAAACATTCTATAACCAATTTTAAAAACAGCCTAGTCACTTATTTGTGGAGTGTGTTAGGTATGTTGGTTCCATGTATTTGTTTATGGTATAAAGCAAGGACTATTTTTGTTATCGATGACTATCATTCGAGTAAATATGATTGGTCTTCCTTTACCATTAGTATTGCTTTTAATTAACATACAACCACTTACATATATTATATCTTGTACTGATTGTTTGTTTTTGCTTCGCAGATTTTCAATGATTGTTTCCAACGAAAATAATAATTTCGTTAAATCATGGCAACTAGCTTGGCGGATGCGTTGCGTGACCAGGATCTTCACCAACTCAATGTCACCGGTACGTATGCGCCATTGTCATTTGTTTATCGTACGATTTCGATTTCGCTATAAAAATGCTACATTTTCTACCATTATGAATAATATAAGTACTTTCATGTTGTCACAATTAATCAGACATATGCATGCATGAAAATTAATTAAACAAATTACGTAAAGCACGAAACATGCGAAAATACCACTACTGCTGACTCTTGTATGGGCCTAGTCAATTAGAGAAAATTAATTGTATGCTTCAGTTATTCGAATAGGTCGCGGACGGCCAGCCATTATTGTTTGTATTGTCGAGAGGGAACGTTTACTTTTTACTTTCGATGCTCGTATTCTTGTGCGCGCCTGCATCGCATAATTGCAATTAACTTTCACAATTAGTCTACTGGAACTCGGCGTTGTTATCGCCACCAAGGCGCAAAACAATGCTAATGGTATTTTGGGTTTTGTGTTTTTCTCACTCTATTTATATAAAATATTCACCAGCATGGAAATGAAAGATGGTTTCTGATATAATCGATCAGGCTATTTTTGGTGGGATTTATTTGTGTGCGGCGCATTGTGAGGACAAAAACGTTTTAATATTCGTCAGAATTATCGAATAGTATTCATAAACCTGCTCGCTGTCAGTATATTGGATTATAAATAGTTTTAGGTGAAAATGTCCACAATAATTTGTTTGGTTTCGATATTGCCTTTAGTAAATATATTACTTGTTTGTAATTGAGGTTTATTAAGTGCGTGTTTGTTTGAATTTTGGTAACGAGAACGTAGGAGGTCAATAATGTTTTTTAAGGTACGTCATACTCAACAACGCAGCTCAAGTTGTGCCTGCTTTGCGTTCAGTTTCAAGGTAGAGCGCGCATGAAAAAAATGTCGGTGAACAATCGCAGTTTACACAATTCTGCAAAACAAACGAAAGCAGCAATGTAGAACGAGCACGTCTGTCGATAAAACACTTTTTCTTTCTGTATGTTTAGGAGAGGTTTCTTTTCTATCTTTGCAATTTGCATGCAACTCAAAGATTACAACATTGTTTAGCAGTATTTTCATCTTGTTTATGAAGGATGGATAAAATGGAAAGTTTTTGTTTAAATGGAAATTTGTCATATGAATATTAACATTGGCTATATGTATGTTTGTTTGTATTACAGTTGAATGTGCGCACCTCAAGCATAATGTAGCAAATATCTTCCGACCTAGCCCTTATGTGGCGCTCGTCGTGGATGGTAACAACCCTTTGCGCACCGACACAGTAAAGAACACGTTGCAACCGAAATGGAACGAAAAGTTCACCGTGTTGGTGACGAAGCAGTCGACGCTGCATTTCAGCGTAATCGACCACAACAGCTTCCGCAAGGATACCACCATTGGCGAGAAGAAGGTTATGTTGAACGAGCTACTGACGTACTATAAGGGCAAGATAGAAAACCTGGAGTTGAGTATTGACCTTATTAATGAGAAGCAGAGCGACGCGAATAGTAAGTGCGGTGATCTCATCTGCCTGCTGAGTGGTCTTCATCTCGAGGTCAGTCGCGGCCCACAGCAACCGGGGCGGCCACTGATGCAGGCCAACAGTGATGCTCCGATATCCAGCCGCAGCGTATTCAATGGAATGCGTGCTAAAGTACGGGCACAGGGAAGTGAAAATGCTGCCCCGTCTTCTGCGACAGGTGCAACGCCGCGGCAATCCATCGAGCGGAGTGCGTCCCTACCAAACAACACGACGTCCATACCTATTCCAATACGTATGTATTAATAATCTGTAAAATGTCAAATAATATGCAGTTTGGAGATGTCACGTCAAAATGAATACGTTTATGTTGTAGCCGGACCGCCTTTGGGCCAACCATCAGCCTCGGCACTGACAAACGGTGCCACCTCTCAATCGGACCTAACGCAATCAGGAGCAGCGACGAATGGCGTCGAAGAACCACTCCCGGCAGGATGGGAGATGCGCTTTGATACCTATAGTCGGCGATATTATGTGGATCACAACACGCGTTCGACTTCTTGGGAACGACCACAGGCCCTCCCTGCGGGATGGGAGATGCGGCGCGATAGTCGTGGTCGAATTTACTACGTAGATCACAACACACGTACGACCACATGGCAGCGACCAAACACGGAGCGCCTGCAACATTATCAACAGTGGCAGGGCCAACGCCAGCACATCGTACAGCAGGGCAATCAGCGTTTTCTGATTAATCCGCAGCAGCCACCGACGATGGCGGGTACCAGCGCGCCGGTGGAGGACGATGATCAATTGGGTCCTTTGCCATCCGGTTGGGAAAAACGTGTACAACCCGAGGGGCGCGTATATTTCGTTAATCATAAGAATCGAACAACGCAATGGGAAGATCCACGTACGCAAGGACTCGAGGTTAGCAGCGAGATGGATGAAGCACCGCTGCCGCCAGGTTGGGAAATTAGATATACGGAGGACAACAAACCCTACTTTGTTGATCATAACTCAAAGACAACCACGTTCGATGATCCAAGACCTGGAGCTACCAAAGGTCCGAAGGGGGTTTACGGTGTTCCTAGGAGTTATGAAAGATCCTTCAGATGGAAAATTGGACAGTTTAGATATCTATGCCAAAGTAATGCACTTCCAAGTCACATTAAAATAACGGTCACGAGACAAACACTCTTTGAAGATTCTTATCATACGATAATGCGTCTGCCTGCGTACGAACTGCGAAGGCGACTTTATATCATTTTCAAGGGCGAAGAGGGCTTGGACTATGGTGGTGTTTCTCGAGAATGGTTCTTCTTGCTCTCGCATGAGGTTCTCAATCCGATGTATTGTCTGTTTGAGTACGCAAACAAAAATAACTACAGTCTGCAGATAAACCCCGCATCTTATGTGAACCCTGACCACTTGTTATACTTCAAATTTATCGGTCGTTTCATTGCGATGGCGCTGTATCACGGCCGGTTTATATATTCTGGTTTTACGATGCCGTTCTACAAGCGTATGCTGCACAAGAAGCTGCTAATGAAAGATATCGAAAGCATCGATCCGGAGTTTTATAACTCGTTGGTATGGATCAAGGACAATAATGTCGAGGAGCTGGATTTGTTCTTCAGCGTAGATTTTGAAGTGCTGGGACAGGTTGTACATCACGAACTCAAGAAAAGTGAGTTATTCTATTACAATTTGATTAATATTAATACCAATTAAACCAAAATTACTTACTTTTCTATAGATGGAGATAAGGAACGTGTCACAGAAGAGAACAAGGAAGAATACATAGGTTTAATGACGGAGTGGCGTATGAACCGCGGCATTGATCAACAGACCAAAGCATTTTTAGACGGATTCAATGAAGTGGTGCCGCTGGAATGGTTGAAATACTTCGATGAGCGTGAGTTGGAGTTGCTTCTGTGCGGGATGCAGGAGATTGACGTGGAAGACTGGCAGAGGCATACCATCTACAGACATTACACGAGGAATAGTAAACAAGTTGTTTGGTTCTGGCAGGTATGTTAAAAGCGTGATTCTAAGTAAATTCTGTACTAAATACCTGCGATTTTGTGTTTTAGTTTGTGCGACAAGCGGATAACGAAAAACGCACGCGTCTTCTTCAGTTTGTGACCGGAACATGTCGTGTTCCCGTGGGTGGTTTCGGTGAATTGATGGGCTCGAACGGACCGCAGCGTTTCTGCATCGAGAAGGTGGGCAAAGATATCTGGTTGCCGCGCTCGCATACTTGCTTCAACCGGTTGGATCTACCACCGTACAAGAGCTACGATCAGCTCGTCGAGAAACTAAACTATGCCATCGAAGAGACGGACGGCTTCGGCCAAGAGTAAGGCAGCGCGCGCGGGACCGGCCGGGGTGCGTTCGAGTTTAGACCGTACCTGATTTGAACCTAATAAACGTGTACATAATATTGATTCTAAAAGTTAAAAGATCCTATATATTTATTTTATTACAAAATGAGGACACAAAGCAACTAAAACTATGAATGGACGCTATATAACTGTAAACTAAAGTATGAACAATGTCGCGATCGTGTTGTAGATCATTTTCGGGCCTACATTACTTAAAAATTTTGAAATAAGAATCGTCGAGCGACGCAAGCAAATCGTTGACGCGCCGCGGATGATTTACTTGTGTTGCTCGCAGTGTTTTGCTTGCAGTACTATCGTTATCTGTAGCATGATAGTGATTAAAATTTACTCGCGGAGGGCGTTTTCGGAGTGCTAAATGCGGAGTGACTTTATTATTCACAGTAGATATGGTTGACTGCAATATCGATGAAGTGTACTCATTAATTTTTATTGTAATTGGTTAATAACATGAAAGTCAACTTAAACAAGCGAATTAACATCACTTATTTTCGAGTTCATGTAATATCAAAGAAAATTGACAATTGTACATATGTTGAAATGTTTCTGTTGACTTTGATGATGAATTGTTATGATTTTTATTTTGGTTATGATAATAGTTGAATAGTGCAATATTTTTAAGAGAGGAACATGCGGAGCGAGTTTGAATTGTTACAAGTTACAACTGTTTGTCATGCTTTCAATGTTTCATTCTCGTTATTGCAGCTTTGTCGTTACATTCCCATTATAATTTCACTTGCATCACCGTTCACCCAATGCCCATCCGACGTCCACACAATTTTAAACAAGCATGCGACTTGTTCCACCGATTAGTACCCAATATGTATCGCTGAACAGATTTTGCTGTTGTATAAAGTGCATGTAAATTGATTAATCCGGAAAGCAAACAGTGCTTGAAAACACTACACATGAAAAGGAAGCCAAAGCTACTCGTAAAAATCGTTTGCGCCGCACAGTTAATGCGGATTATTATCGAAGACGCATCAGTGTATATTTATTCTCTTATTGTTTTATCGAACGCATTAAAGTAATTCTTTAGGCTAATTAACGAATAAATGGATGAAGATTTACAATATGCAACAATTGTAGGTTTTTCGCTGCGCGCGCATTTCTATTTTTACAAATGCGAAGCGTGCGCATTTTTATATGTATCTAGATGCAGAACAATGTGATGATTATGAATAATAACTATTGATGAAATGCGGAACATAACAGAGACAAAACAACCAACTGTAATATCACACTTTTGAGATTATTGTGTCACTGATTATTTCTTGTAAATAAAGTAATTAGAAGTTTACAGGATTGTGTTTTTTTTTTCATGCCTGAAACATGAAAGAAACAACGGAACATTTGATTTATTTCACTGTTTTGTTCATTTATTGTATAACAGTCGAGTATAATGCTTTATTTTTACCGATGTATAGTTGCAGATAGATAAGCCAGAAAGCAAGCATTTACTTTTACATACAAGTACTAGGTAGTTGATACAAGTGGTTTGTTTAATCTATTAATACTCAATTCTTGATATTTGTATTTGTACCTCGTCGGACATGTCAAAGTAAACTTAATTCATTAGATGTATATATTTAAACAAGTCTCCCTCAAGATTAGATCGAGTAAAGTGTAAACAAACATAAATAAAATCACTATTTTCTTGGAAAACGTAAAATCAATATGAAAATAAATAAAAAATTCGCAAATAATTTACACACGTCCACGTTAGATATCATTTTGGTTGCTATCATGTATAATATCTATCATAGAAAATGTACGTGTTATCAAGAGGTGTCTAATATTATATTAGTTACACATGTTATTTTAGTTCAGAGTACATCTTTTACAATTGCTAGCCTATGCAAATAAAAAGTTTTTAATATCACAAAATATAATGTAACAAAGATCTGACTAGATTAATAGAATTGGAGTTTGGTTAATGTTTTAGTGGTGGTTAGTTCATTATTACATATTCCTATCTACGGTGTTATAAATTTGCGCTAGAAAATTTGGGTAAATAGTGTAAATTTAACTAATTTTGAGTAGTTTTAGTATTGGACTGGTAAAAAAAGCATTATAACATGTGAATATTAGCAACAATCAACATTGAGTATATATGCACTTAGAATTTAAATTTATATCTTTGACCACAGCTATTTTCCCATATTTTCTAGGCAAAAGATTATATATGTGATCATTTAATGGATGGCGCTCTTGAAACAAACCCGTTTGAGCCAATATCACCCGAACAACCCCACTACTAATATCATTCATAATGTATTCACAATGATGATGCAAATCATTGCTCCTACCCAAGTCGTGAACACAACTTTCACCCAATCAAACAAAACCAACATAGAGTATATAAAAATAGATGCAATCAATCATTGAGTGCATTCAGCACTCGCTCACTTGTGAATCAATATTGTTGAATCTTGAATGTAACTCACGATATTTGTTGAATCAACTAACTAAACCAAATCTAACAGCACCGATCAAAAATACGCGAGCCAATTCATAGTTATACGCATGTATACATTGTGTCAACTTACATTCTATATCAATACCACCTGGCAACAACTGATGCTGTTGTCACCTTTGGGGTGAGATCCAATTCTTAAAGCCATAACTTTTGCAGCGCGTCGTTCACAACTGTACATTTCTTATTTACATCGTCTCCTTCGGCCATTGTGGTTAAAGGGAAACTGTCTCCCTGTAATTTCAATCAATTGTTTTTCTTCTTCAAAATGTAACTGTAAAGTAAATTACTCACCTCATTATTGTAAATCCACAACATTTCTAAAGTCGAGATAAAGTTTTCGAGTTCGGAGTTCGTTGGGAAGTATAATATCCAATCCCCGCTTGTTTCGCGTACTTCTCTGCATGCAAATTCCTTTAAACAGAATAGGTAATTATAATTATTGTGTTGTTAATGTTGTTATTTGTTTGTATTACGCACCAAAATGCACCAACTTTGTTCGGCTGACGGAAGTTTAAACGAAGTTAAATCACTGATTGCAGCACACGAGAGAACCTGCGGTCCTTTAATCGGATTATGTTCTTCATCATTGCTAAGCAGATTGCAGGAAAATGCCTCGCGTACTAATATTATTTGTTCGCTAGTCATTAGCAGTGAAGTTGCAGGCGCAACTGATCGATCACGACTTGAATAAACCTATAAAACAAAAATTAACATTTTCCCTCAAAATATTATATAAAAATCCAGTCTCATCTATTTACCCCCGTGGCAGCATGTATTAATGCTTGCAGCCATTCGCTAGCCACATATTCGTCAGGGGCGGCAAGAAACAACACGCTGCCGGACAGAATCAGTTGGAATGTATGCGGGCGAGCGCAATTATGAACGCGTTTCGCGCCATGGCAAGCGCCATTAAGCAGCGGGTACACTCGCATCGGTTCTGGGTTGGAGGGTGAGGATAACATGTATAATATTCCAGCCCTAAACAAAAATATTCACATTAAATATTAACATCAAACACAAATCAAGAGTAACACCTACTTCATAATAAAATATGCAGTTTCCCATCGGGAATCAGTATCTGATAACTTAAACATCAAAGGACCTTCTTTATTTGGACCAAAGAAAGCGTCCACATTCTCAGTTTGTTGTTCCTGGGCATTTAGAATCGTGCAGTAGAAATATTCATCATCCTAGAAATTAAAATACTTTTAGCTGAATAATAAATTTCACTATATAATATTTTACTTTATGCACTGGAGTTTGTTTAGAAATAAACTTTCTCAAATTGCGCATATCCATCATTGTTAATTGTTTAATCGCAGGCAGAATTTTCTCCTTATTACCGCGCATGACCATCTCCAGCTGAATCATAATATCATTCGTAATATTACTACTACCCGTTATCAACATGCATTGTTTATCGTTATTATTAGTCGAGATGTGAATTGTTTGCGCACTTGGACCTATGATAATCGTATTCAACTGCGTGTAAGGAAGCAGCATCAACGCGCGTCCTTGCTCCGCTTGTCTCTCATAGACGAAAAGTGTTGAATCAGTGATGACAAGCAGTAATGATTTATGTGTGCCGGTGGTTGTATAAGCACTCGATAGTGGAAAAACGCCAATCACATTTAACTCATTCAACATCGCATAAGAATGTTGTTTGTTGGTTGATTTGACTGATTTTCCTGCGAAATTTATACGTTTCGCTTGTAATATTTCTTCATCGATGCTCCGATTTAGTTTACGATTTTCCTTTACACAGCGCTCTAGATGCAAAGCGCTTATAGGAACAGCCAGCTGCCGTTTACTCCGCGAAAGCTTCCTCTGCAACTTCATATCCAGCATCTTGTGCGTGGTCACATGTCGCAGGAAGCGATTGATGAGGCTGTTCTTTGACGACGACCCAGCGCCGCCGGGCGTGCGCGCGTTTTTTGACGGCTCGCTCGAATTGATCACCGGTTGAACGGTGTAATGGTTTGCTCTATGAACGCGTCTCCGCGGGGAATTCAAGTGTCGCATGCTCGAGTTAACAAGTGATTCGGTCGAAACTGATTCAGTATCGGACCAATCCATGTTTACATTGCGTGCATACTTGTTGATTGTGTCGGTTTCAACATTTTTCTTTGAATGTTTCGATTCCTGTTTATCAGTTGCTGTTGCTTCAGTAGTAGCACCGTCGTTAACAACAACAAAGTCATCTTTTGCTTCCTTTTCAGTGCCAGTCTCCTCTTGTGCTTTCTTTCTAAAGAAATTAAACTCCTTCAATATCTTCTGATAAATCGATGAATTCTTCGGTTTCTGGTTATTGTGCTCAAAACTTTTTGTAAAGTTGTCATACTCATAACTGTATGATATTCCTTTGTGCTCGTAAACATTACTATCGCATAATATTACGTTCTCAGGCAGATTGTTCTGATACATTGGTTGAATTGTCAGCTTCAAGTTGTTCTTCGCAATGTCCATTTGAACATTGGCTTTCTTCTTTTGTTCAGTCAAATCGGAAGTGTCAATTCCACAAGACACCTCTGATGTAGAATATATCAAATCTTCCTGCCCTTCTGGAACTCCTCGCTCTGTCAATGGCAAAGATGTTGAAAATGTCAAGATGTTTTTAAGGCTGCCGAATATATTAGCATCAAGCAAGTTGGTTTCAGATTTTTTTCGACCTTTACTTGCTGAAATCTCTTCAACTATATTAGTGTCAATCACTTTTCGGTGTTTGGTCTTCTTCAGACAACTGCCTTTCGGTTTTTTCTCACTGCCAGGCTTGTCTGTGACTTCATCAATGCGTTCTTCGTCGATGGAACTAGAAAAACTCGCACTGGAGCTGGACGATACCGATGATAAGCGATGCTGGTGTTGTACATAAATATCCGATTGGACTTCTCTGTTACACATCGGATTATTCTCGTTATAAGTTGAATCACCCTCGGCAGCCCAACTATATCGTCCTTGAACAATATCATGCTTCTTTTTGAAGCCGCGCAGCAAGAAATTAGTTGAACCTTCTGGTTCGATTGTGATAAAACCGTGATTTATATGAATATCATCGATTTTCGTGCTGTTTAAAATGTCCTCGTGAAAAGAGACGCGCTTTTTCGGTGTATCACTACGTGACTTCTTTTTTCGTTGCCTTCTGAATACGATTTGTTCGTCTACAATAGTGTCAACTGGTTTATCCTCAATGACTGCTTCAGGTGCAGGTGGTTCTTCAATGGTAGGTTCCACTTCAACTAAATTTTCAACTGCTGATTGAAGCTGAAGTCTTAAAGTTTCATTCACTTCTTCCGACAGACTCACATGCATTTGATCTAGTTCTTCAAAGTTTGCTTTTATTTGATTTGCCATGGTGTAATCCAACAGTTCATAACTGTTGAGGGAAATATTCATAATATCATCTTTGGTGGTTGCCTCAATTAAACTATGAGTTGGGGTACTTTGTTGTCTGGTGGGTAGAACTGTTGCAGCATTTGCTTTTGTGCCTCCTGGTAAATTTGAGCCAGTATTTTGATTAGCAATATCACTCTTGGTCATAAGCTTGTCTTGAATATTACTGCACAACTCCTTCATTGCTGCTTCTGCATCTTGTGCAATGCTATCATCAGTGTTCTTTATGTCCATATCTAAGTCACAACCACTGGAAGACATCACAGATGTCTGATCAGTTTGGTCACTCTCACTGTCCAACAACTGAACTCCAGAATCCACAGGGGAATTCAGTGAACTGATTGATTGCTGCATTTTACAGGGACTTGGCAATTCCAGATTGAGCAAGAGTACTTCCCTTTGTTCAATAGGTCCCTCCATATTGTTGACTTATTTCTAAAATTGTAAATCTGAATCAACCAAGGAACTTGCCAATATTATGAATGTGTGCCATTTGTTGTTATTGGCAAACAGAAATAAACATGATTGATTTGTTTACTTACTGGATAAAGGCAAGTTATTATGGTATTAATTTGGTGTAGTATTGTATTGAATCATCACTGTGTCGTTGCCTCGCAATTGTCGGAGTTGTTGCTAGAATGCGCAATGCAATCTTGCTTCATGTTGGAGAAATTATGTGAATTGTTTCAAGCTGACCACCACTTCCATTTACATTGCACTGAGGTTTTGACAGTTCTGAATTGCAGTTTACGACTCATGCGCGCTTACATGTGAGTCATTGATTTTCAAGCTCAAAGGATGAGAAGTGGAAGTGGTAGAAGCTCGAATGCACTTCTTTCTTGTTTACAGAATTTTTACTACGTTGTTGTTAAAACTGCAACCAAAATAATCTTCAAGAAAGCAGAAGTACTTACTAATTTTTGTTTGTAATTTCGTATATTCATTTTAAAGATTAGTCCCGAAGGAAAAATGTGATTTTGTGGTCGATATAATTAATTAGAAATTAATAAGTTGTTTTTTATAAACGTGTTTTGGAATTTTTTCTTTGGATTCAAATATATTTTGCTATTGAAGCATTTATATGAACATACGTGAAAAATATAAGAATAAAATATTTATTAAAAATAAAATATAGTAAAGTTGGTTGCCTAGTTTTAAGGAAGTATATAGTATGCACTTTTTATTTAGTCTCTAAACTCTCTGATTGCTCTAAAATGCCAAGAATAAAATATTGTTTAAAAAAACTAAAGAACACGCTTTTATGAGAAATCTAAATAAACTTACATACCAGTACACCCAAGATGACTTAAGTCATATGATTCGGCCCAACAACGTAGGACAGTTTTTTCGTTTTACGTTTTATTTTACGTTTTATTGTTAGTGATAATCGCGTAACGAATTACGGCAATTTAATAACATCCATTATAATATAATAAGCATTGACTATAATCGAGAATATAATTATTTGATATTAGTAGAAATGTATTGTTTATGATGTGGTGTTGCTATGAAATACGCATTAATGCAACATTGTGTATTTTGTACCTAGAAAGCTGGGACACCATACATTTTTACTGTTTTATTATAACTCAATGCGTTTTTTAGATGATGTATGTATATTCAACCCTCTACTGAGTCCAAAAGTACCCTAAAATGTCCTTTAAAATTGTCAATTTTATAAAAATTTGTAAACAAGATGTGGAAGACGCCCCGTATCTCCTGAAGTAATTGATTTTCTGAGGTCTCACACCGCCATGTCAGAGTTTGAGAGTTCCTCTATATGACGCATGTCTTTCAAACCTTCTAGGCTTTCCACAAGTACCTTTAAATGACCTTTATAAGTTAGCATTTTTCAAAAAATGAAATTAAAGCATATTGTGGAAAACACCCTGTATCTCGTAGACTAATTGGTTTTATCAAAGTTTCTCACTGCTATGTCAGAGTTGGAAAGTTACACTATGCAATGAATACCGTTTGAACTTTCCAGCCCTTTTAGAAATGCGCTAAAATGTCTTTTAAAAATAAGCATTATTCAAAAAACTTAAAAACATGGTGTGGAAAACACTCTGTATTTTATGAACTAATTAACTTTATTGATGTTTCTCACTGCTATCTCAGAGTTAGAGAGGGCTTCTACGCAATGAATATCTTTTCAACTTCCTAGCCCTATTAGAAGTACGCTAAAATGCCCTTTAAAAATTAGCATTTAAAAAAAAAATTAAAACATAGTGCAAAAAACACCCTGTATCTCCTGAATTAATTGATTTTCCTGAAGTTTTTCAGGGTCATCTTAGAGTCCAATAGACCCTCTTTCGATGCATCTAATTTCAGCAATCTCGACCCTTTGGAAGAGCCCTGAAATGCTCTTCAAAAGTTCGCAATTTTGGGCAAATTTGAAAACATGATGTAGAAATCGCCGCGTTTCTCGTGAACTAGCTAATTTTTTTAAAGTTTCTCATCGTCATGTTAAAGTTAGAGAGTCCCTCTACACAATACATATATTTTTAACTTTCTTAACCCTGGGGAAGTGTCTTAAAATGCCCCTAGAATATTGCTGTTTTGTCCAATAAATTTCATTTTTGTTTGAATAACAGAGTCGAATTTTTTGGTTAAAATTTTTTTCGGTCGAAGAATAGGGTCGAATTTATTTTCTTAAAATATTTTTGGTCGAACAACAGGGTCAAACTTTTTTGTTAAAACTTTTTTCGGTCGAAGAACAGGGTCGAACTTTTTTTCATAACATTTTTTTGGTTGAACAACAGGGTCGAACTTCTTTGTTAAAATCTTTTTAGGTCGAAGAACAGGATTGAACTTACTTTCTTAAAATATTTTCGGTCGAACAACAGGGTCGGACTTTTTTCTTCAATTTTTCCTGTGAAAGCGACGAGATTAAATTGCGATTATCTCGAGAACTATAAGGGCTACGGAAAAATGGACTTCATATTTATGATCCTTAAAGAATTCTCTACAAGATGGCACCTTTCTTAAAAAACGAACAAAAATGCATAAAAAAATTAACGAAAAGATTTTGTTATGAAAAAGACAAAAGATTTCTCTTTTTTATGTTCGAAATTAAAAGTTGGAATTTTTACATTCTGTTTTCGGATTCGCATAAATAATTTAATGCTATATTGATTATTTTAGTAACCTTTTCGGCTCGCATTTACCGTTTAGGCCCTATTTGCAATTTCATTTTAAAAATGTATGTATATTGAATAGCGGAAAAGCCAGGCTTAGTTAGGGTTATTATTATTAAAAAGCTTTATTTTAGAACAAAATTTTATTGAGATAAAGTATGTAGAATCACATAATCTTTTATATTTGATAATAAAAAGTTGTAATTTTCAATTTTGATTTTTTGCTTAGGAGATGATATAGAAAACGAGTAAATCAGTTTTTCGCACTTATCTTGAAAATCATTAGAGATAAAGAAAAGCGGGTTTCATATTCGCATGTAGAATTAAATTTTACATTATATAATAATTAAAAACGGTCAATAACTTAAAAACTAATTAAGATAGCGCAACCAAACCTGGATTAATAGATTCCTGGCTTTGTTTTTTATCAGTTTGAAAAGTTTGGGGAAAATTGAAGAGGTAGTTTTATTTAATCAGTTTTGATTTTACCACCCATTTTCCGAAATATTGATGTTATCGGAAAACTGACTTCATATCTTTCATCCCCTTGGAAAACTCAATCAATTAACGTTTTCGATTTTCTTCTAGTGTAAAAAAATGTTTTTGAGTCCAAAAAGAGTCAAGTGTAACCTCTTGACTCATTTTGAGTGGTTGTTGGTCAACTTTGGAAAATTGAAAAACTAAATCTGCCATTTTGTATATCCTTATCACGACATGAGCAAAATGAAGAAAGTTTTTTTCTAACTTTATTACTTTCTGAGAAAATTGCGGTGGAACATTTTTTAGACATATTTTATTTTTGAAAATGTTTAAACGTTGTCTTTCCTAGAATATCATACTAAGCATTATAGTGTTTTCGGTTTTTGTTCATCTCTTCTAGTTTCTGAGATAATTGATTCTTAAGTCTCTGTGTAAATACACGTTTTACTTATTGACATTTACCGATAAAACCCTTAGTGTTATTAAGTGAAAAGTTGTTTAAATTTGATAATTTAGAGCCCCTACACAATGGGGTAGTTTGTTTTATTAATTAATTATACTACTCTTCAAAATGTCAGGCGCATCCGCCATTTTTTCATAATTCATAACTTTTTTCAAAACAAATTTAAAAAATGTTCTGTTTTATCACTAAATAGCAAAGAGGACAATTTTATGGTGCGATTATTTTAATACATAATTTTAATTCAGACATCGATTTAAAAGATATACGACAATAATTGTTTAAATGTATTCTGCCTATATGTGATCTTTACAAAGCAATAAGGCCTAAACCAAGTATGCAAGGAGAAAATATTACAAAGATTAATGACTCAAATTTAATTGTTTGTGAAGAATCCACAATCAGAAAAAAAAAATCCAACTTTTAATTTCGAACATAAGAGAAATTTTTTATGACGAAATCTTTGAGTTCAGCAAATGCAGTTTCATCTTAATTATAGGAAAGGTAAACGTTTGTCAAGACAATAAAATTAATATTTTAGATTAAAATTGAATTTATTATAATGAATTGTTTATAACAAAACTGTAACATTAATAATTAATCAGTAATCGCTAAAAAATGTAAATTAGACACTACGAATCAATTCACATTCAGAATGATAGGTCAACATTCATCATTAAAACGTAAAATAACTTATGCAATTGCTCGCTATGACAATATTTACATTAAATCAGTACAATACAGCACAAAAACATTCGCTACAACGTTCTTCATCGCTTGAAACACAATGGAAACATGAGAATCAAAAAGGGCGATACACGATTACGCATTTTCTTGTCACCAGATGATCTTCTTACGCTACCCCTTGCAAATATGTTGCACCACCATTTCGACGAGCATCAATGGTACCATAGCTGTAACTGTATGGTCCCATTGACAGGCCATTGGCATCCTTTCTGGGCCAAGCTTGACTCTTGTAACTGTTGCATGCAATAAGACTGTTCATGCCTGGTGGGCGACTGCGTTCAATCGAAATTCCATTGGCCACACTGCGGATACTCCTGATGCTCTCTGAAATACTGATGGTGCCCGATTTGCTTTCTCCGGCGTGAAGATCACCATTGCCGATTTTGTCATCCTTCATTTCGACGTATTGAGCACTGCGGCGAGTGCACATGAGGAATAGGCCAACGATGAAACCCACTACAAGATGAACACCGACAACAAACATTGAGGACGGCCGGAAACCAATGCTGTCGTACAGGATACCACTGACAGATGGACCAATAAATGCACCCAAGGCAAAAGTACTCGTCCAAAGGCCGGAAATTAAACCGAATGTCTCCAAATTGTTAGGAAAACCATACGCACTACAAAATAAATTATTAAAATGATAGTAAATTGATACTTTATAATTAAATATTGTACTTACATGCTTGTTCGTAAGGCATCGGTGAAGGAGGCAACCAATTGAGCACCCATACCAAGACCATGTAGTACCAAACCACAAATTGTTACACCCATTGATCTAAAACAACAGTAATTTGTAAATAACGCAACGAAATATTTTTATTAAACTTACGTGTTAATAGGAATAAATGGTGCTGGTCCAACTAGACAGAATCCAACCGCTACCAGTAATGTTCCAATAATTGTTACCGTTTTTGGTGGTATGTATTTATCACACAACCATCCCCAAACCGGAGCTGACAAAGCGTAAGTACCGCCATTGATAACAAACATTAAACCCAATACAATCGGAGAAAGTCCAAATTGCCGCAAATGAGGTTCCAATGTGGCTTGTAAAAATCCAATGGACATTGATGTGACGATGATACTCGATGCGGCCAGCAGAACTCCAGGTATTTTCAGTGTTGCCCAAATTGATGCTAAAATAATGTACAAAATTTATACCAAATCTAAACAAAAGTCATCTACATACATCCTGTTTCAACATCAGTGCCTTGTTCGTGTTTGGGCAGCGTAAAATTGGTCATAATCGCAGAAAGAAAGAGGGCGGTTCCCATTACAGCAAATGGCACAGTGTATCCCCCAATCTGGTAGAGGGCACCACCGACAGTGGGTCCAACAATCAGTCCCAGGCCGAAAAATGTCTCCAGCGATGCCTACACATTCGGAAATTTACATTCACAGCATGTGATATTGACATGTTTAGCACGATAGCACGGAATGCTATCAGTGTTTGTTTACAATCCGCCAAAATTAAAACAACAACTACAACGGCATGAAATTAAATTATACTTACAAATGTTGTTGCAACGTTATCTGGAAACTCCTTGGCGATGATTGCAAAACTGGCAGTAAGGAAAGCCGCGTTACCCATTGCTTCAATCACTCGAATAATTAAACTTAACGTAATAAAAGGGTAGTGACCTTCAACTTTATCAAGCAGGCTACAAATAGAATTTAAACAATTAAATACAGAACAAAATGAAACTATAGAAACTTTGTAAATGTGTAACGCACCCGAATAAAATGGCACAAACGCCTGTTGTGTAGATACCGCCATTGAAGAGAACCTTAGGTCCTATCCGGTTAAGATGTTGGCCATAAAAGGGACTTACGATAAAAACAACCAGTTCAAAGATGCCAAATACCAAGCCATATTCGGTAGCTGTTGCACCTTTCTTTTCAGCCTATTCATTAAGGATAATTTGATTATAGGCAACTGAATAAGCAAATACATTTTGCAAAAAATAATAATAAATGATGCAAGAAGCGTGTGCGCATTGCTTAATTATTAATGCGTATTGAGAATAAGACATCAAATAATTACGCGGCGTTTTATAAAAGTTATCGTCAAATTATAATTTTTTAGGTCAAAGTTGTCAAGCGCAAGATTTAAATAGAAAATAAACATTTTTTACAGATTAGTTTCAGATTAATTAATTGCGACACATGCAAAACACATGGTTTCATAATAATTTAACTCGTGCATTTTGTCCTTAAAAACGAATTAATCTTATTATGACAAAATTTAGATTTAAATTTACTCATTAATGTATTAATTTTTTGTTCGAACAAAATGTGAGCAAACATTTATTAACGAAAATAATTGAATTCATAGAAATTATTCTGTAAAATATGATTACAAATTGTTATCAATAAAATCTTATTTTGTTAGATATAGAAATTAATACTACACACAACTGTTAATGAATTTTTACTATAAGCTGATGAAATTTAGAGTAATTAATAATTAACAATAAAATATACTAATTTTGCAACCATTTAAGATATTATTAATGAAGACAACACAACATCACAATGAATTCTTGTGTTGTATATTTTATTGTTTTGTTCAGTTCGCCTTTGTACCCTCGCGATTGTGATTTACCTCTTGTGGATAAAATGGTGCCTGAAGTGAAACGCAAATGGCGTTGCAAAAGTCAGCGATTCCGATGACTAGTAACGTCATCCATTGCCGCTTTGTAAACTTCATCCTGTTATCCGCAGTGTATCCTCTGAGTTTTCACAAATTAACAAATGAATTGATTTAAATTGCTTAAATTAATTGACTTAAAATTTGTCCGTAAACTAGTTAAACGCACAACAAAAAATTGCTCAATTCTTTGAGTATTAAATAATTCGCGTAGAAGAATATTCGATTGATCATATTGTCTCACCGCGCGCCCGAATCATGGCTAATTCGTGGGTCGAAACCGGATCTCACTGAAGTGGTGCAACGCAATAAATTAATTATGGCTGCTTGTAAGTGTAGCGCGTCGCGGTATCAGTGCCGTTTGGTGGTTGGTGACGAACTGAAGACGGCATGCCGGACATGAGACGAACGAGACGGACTATGTGCGACATTTGACATTTTTTCTCGCCTTCGACGGGCACTGCTTGCGTATCGCGCGTGTCAGATTTGCGATAAGAAGAGTTCTCCGTTTGCTATCGAGCGGTTGATTGGCCTTTGCTGTTTCAGCGGGAAGATTTCAAACACATCAAATAATGGAAGACGTGCTTTCTTGCGGAAAGTAATCGGTAATTATCAAATTTGTTATTTGATCTGTTAAAATGATTGATAACAGAGAAATTAAGAGTTAAATATTTAGATAATTAATAAATAAAAATATTCCTGAATGATGTTTAGTTTTATTATACATTTTAAAATATTTATTAAACTTAATTTTAAACTAAAAACTTAATACAAATTATTTCCATGTTATGCAACCCAATGCTCAATTAATTTTTTTTTAATTCTGCGATGTTTAAAACTTAAATTTTACATACTTGTTTGGTAAATATGCAGTTAATCTACTATTAAATTATTGCATAGATAATTTATGCAAATAGCAGACTTAAGTACACAAATTAATTGTGTGCACGCATAGCATGGGCAACACATCGACACCAGAATAAAGTTCAAAGTTTAACGCGTTCAATAATAATACCATTCGTCGATAATGCGCGCATTGGTTCTCCTTTTAATTGACTTCGGCTTGTGCAAATGTGTCCGTATGCACTTAATAAGGTTGTCATGCGAATTTTTTCCACGGGTTGTCAAACACGCATTGATTTAATGCGCAAAAATGTAACATTTTAAGTTGTCAAAACAAAATTACTCAATTTTCAAATCGTTTGAATGAAGCACATAAATCTGAATTAAACTAGAGTCAATTTGTAATGAATTAGTATGTCAAAACATGTTTGATTGTTATGATTTTATGGAAATATGTTAGATGTGATAAATAAATATTTGTTATGAATTGTTATGAATGGTTGCTTCGTTGATGGAATTTTTATACTTTATACGACAATATTAGCAATCTTATCGTTGAATATTTTATTTATTGATAATTTATTGAGGAAAATTTTCACCTCAATGTGCAATTTTAAATTATTGGTGCTTAGAATAGTTAAATTATAGCATTTGCGTCTTTCATAAATTGATATCATTTTGAACTTGAATTTGTCTATGTAGTAAGGTCGTGGACATTAATCGCAGATTTGTTATCGGGCAGTTTTTGGATCCGTTACGATGATGCAAACATTGAGCAAATTTCTTCGTAGATTGCGTTGTTAAAATTAAATCAGCTAATGTGACTTAATGATAGTGGCATGGTTAAATCAATTTTACACTTGCAATTAATACGTTATCAATCCAGCAAATATAGTCATAACAAAACCACAGCGTTTGAACTTAATTATGTACTAATGAAACATATATCTTAATCTAGTTGTTTTGTTTCTGCGATGAGAGTTTAAGAATTAACATACTCGACAGTGGCGGATTACGGCCTAGGCGCACTAGGCGCGCGCCTAGGGCCCCGGCTGCCTGGGGGGCCCCGGCTGCCTGAGGGGCCCCTGGCACTTATATGTCCCATATAGACATAGTAATTCCACAAATACTTCATCAGTTGGTTTTGACCTCAGCCTTTATGAATAGCGTATTGGTTTTCACTTGGCGCCCAAAACGGCATTTCACACGTGTCCGGAAAGCAACCGTCACGGATATATAGCTGACTTTAAACTTTTTATCTCCGATTTTATTTCTTTATGACAAACTGTTTAAAATAAAATTTGGATGTTTTCTGCCACGAATTTTTGTGACCTTTTCTTGAATATTGCATTAGAAAGTTGTAGCTATAATGCGAGTAGAATATTGCCAATTTTCCTAAATTTCGAACATCTGTGGAGGAGATGAGTTGAGGAATATTCCATTGAGGTTGTAAAATAGCGGGTAACTCTCTTTTGGAATATTAATTATTTCGTCTTTCTATCATTTTTCACATCTGCGGAACACGTTGAACCAACGTTTATCCTCCTACAATTTTATCTAGATTTTTGGGGTGGTAGTTGGATTAAAAAACAGAGAGTGGTCAGTGAGTCTTGAATCACAACCCCGACAACACTAGTTCTACAAAAGTTTTTCTCGAAGTCTTGTGCATAGACGATTTGGCGTGGGTGATTTTCAAAACTGCAGTCAATAATCAACAAGAGCTTCTATAAAGGTACATCGTTAATATTTCTTATTATATTTATTATTTATTATTATTTATTATTTCTTATAATTTTTACAAAACATATTTGTGCAATATTTGTGTAATTATTTTGCAATTTAAAATTTAAAATGCAACGAACATATTTATCCGGCGCGGAAAGGCATACAAAATTGTAAAATCCATATAAATCACAAAACAATTTAATAAATACATCCTATGAAAAAAGATATTGAGCCAGAATATTTCACTGATGAGTTAACTCATTTTCTAAAATACATACAAGAAGAAAATATTAGAGATCCACATGAAATGTATGCAACATTAAATAATGGTCTAAAATCAACTTTTCGAAATATACACACAATACTGCAAATTTTTTTGACCTTGCCCGTTTCTAATGCAAGTGGAGAAAGGACATTTTCAGTTTTAAAATGAGTCAAAAACTATCTGCGCAATAGTCTTTCACAAGAGCACTTAAATGACTTCGCATTAATGTTCATAGAAAATGATATTTTTAAAAAACTAGAGTACGACAAAATTATTGAAATCTTTGCCCAAGAGAAGGCAAGAAAAGTAAATTTGTAATTTGTACTTAAATACGATTACCGTTTTTGAGCACACGTACGATGAACTCAAGAACCAAGATAGCATTGAAAACGATAATCCCATCGCGGATAGTATGACAGAAAATTTTACCTGTGATATTTCGATCGGTCCTGAAAACAATTAACGCACAACACCTGCCAATCGCGAAGAGCGAATCGGAAGATAATCCATTAAATTTTGGAATAGTGCGTGTGGATTAGGCCTACTGGGGATACCACGATCAAAAAATGCGCCACGTACTCTACCTCATGGTGGTGTGGAAATGAGTTTTTGGCACAAACGAATGTTGAAGTAGACTTTGCAGCGCCCGTACGCTAAAACTATTAATTTTACTTGGCTAACCGTTTTTGAAAATTTTCGGATTTAGGGGCCCCAAACTTGATTTGCGCCTAGGGCCCCACTGAAGCATAATCCGCCACTGATACTCGAGCGTAAATCCGGTTTAAAATTTAATTGTCACATACTCTATAAGATTCATTTTAAACTTTTTAAGAACATTGTTGTTAATAAATATTATTGAGTGGTGTTTAATCGGGAGGTAGCAACATTGTAGCTAATCAACTTTAATTACCAGTGTAATGCAATAATATGATATTTTGTTTATTTTTTTGTATAAATATCTTTGATTGTAGAATATTTTTGTGTAAAATATGAGTGTTTTATAGTAATTTTTTTTATTCTTGCTATCTTTTAAAATAGTTGTTCCATGGTGTAATAAAGCGATAACTTCATTGACATTCCGACGGAAATGCATTTGAAAGTGCGGCTACACCAAATTTATTGCCGTTTAATGATTAGTCACAAATCTGACTCTATTATAAGCACAAAATGTAATAAATAATAACATCTTTGTTTTGATTTATCTACGATTGATTCTATTTTTAGATCAAGCCACACCGCATTCAAAAATAATTTATACCAATTAATTATTTTATGTACAATTTAAAAATTGCACTAATATAGTGACCATGATGCGGGTTTCTGTCGAGACAAAGTTTGGCAGGGCAACTAGTTAACTAATAAAAACAAACCACCCCATTGTTTTGAGGAGCTCTTAATTATCAAATTTAATCAACTTTTCACTTAATAACACTAAGAGTTTTATCTGTAGATGTCAATAAGTAAAACGGATTTTCCCATAGATATTTAAGAATCCATTATCTCAGGAACCAAAAGTGATAAACCAAAACCGAAAACACTATGATGCTTAGTATGATATTCGTTTAAAAATTTTCAAAAATAAAATATGCTTAAAAAATTTTCCACCGCAATTTTCAAAGAAAGTAATAAAGTTAGAATAAAACTTGCTCCATTTTGTTCATGTCGTGATAAATATCTACAAAATGGCAGATTTAGTTTTTTAATTTTCCAAAGTTGATCAACAACCAGTAAAAAGGTATGAATTGTGTTAAGAGACTCTCGAGCTTTAACATGACGTTGAGAAACATTAAAAAAATTAGTTAGTTTAAGAGAAACAGAGCGATTTCCACATCATGTTTTCAAATTTTCACAAAATTGCCAACTTTTGAATGGTATTTCAGGGCAGTTCTAAAGGGCCTAGATTGCTGAAATAAAATGCATCGTAAAGAGGGTCTATTGCACTATAATGTGACGTTAAAAACCTTTAGGAAAGTCAATCAATTCAGGTGATACCGGGTGTTTTCCACACTATGTTTTTAAATGTTTTGAAAAATACTTATTTTTAAAGGGCATTTTAGCGGACTTCTAAAAGGGGTAGAAAGTTCAAAAGATATTCATTGCGTAGTGGAACTTTCCAACTCTAACAAAGCAGTGAGATACTTTGATAAAGTCAATAAGTTTTCGCTATACAGGGTGTTTTCCACCCTATGTTTTAAATTTTCTAAATATACATTTAGGTATATAATTTATTTAATTTTTATATTAATATAAGGATGTATACATATCAATTTACAAAAATCTATTCATATATTTTGTTCATATTCTAAAAACATCTCTTATCAAGCAAATGTGCGCACGATATTAATACGTCTATATTTTATAGAAATATTATCAGCGATAAAGATATAACCGGTTTAGAATAAACTTCCAAACCATCTATCAATCATTGTTAATTTTAAGCGCCACGCCATGCATTATTTCAACATGACAAAACGTGTTACAAATCTTGTCCGGAGCGGAAGTGAACCAGAAGTCAAATCTTCTTATCGCAGAAGTACTGATGCGTAATAAAGAACAGAATAAA